TAGCCTGTTGTGATGGTAATGTATCGCAACTTTTTAAACAAAATATATCAATTACCCCACCCTGTATGGTCCTTATCCCGTTGTGATACGTGGGCAATGATTGCGACTTGTTGTATATCAAGTGTATCCATGGTAACCATTGTGGCTTGTTTTAATGTATCAAGTGCGTCCATGGTAACCATTCTGGTTTGTCATGTACCAAGTGTATCAAAGGTAACTAATGTGGCATGTTGTGTATCAAGTGTATCCATGGTAACCATTGTGGCTTGTTTTAATGTATCAAGTGCGTCCATGGTAACCATTCTGGTTTGTCATGTACCAAGTGTATCAAAGGTAACTAAAGTGGCATGTTGTGTATCAAGTTTATCCATGGTAACCATTGTGGCTTATTGTCATGTATCAAAGTGTATCTATGGTAACAATTAATAGTTTGTTGTTATGTATCAAATGTATTCACAGTGACTGTTGTGGCTTGTTGTTCTGTATCATATGTATCCATGGGAACCATTCTGGCTTGATATTATATATAAAGTAGAAAAAAGACACGTGGTTATATCTATCTACTCTTTATTTAAATGTACCTGTTTTTATACGACCATTGATGACGGGTCTTGTTATGTCATACCCTGATATGTTTGTCATTTTAACTTTTCCTTGTTAACGCACTGTTATTATTGACTAATTCATGAACCTTGCTACCAATATTCCACACAAAAAATGTTTGTGTTACAGAATTTTGTGATTATCTGTAGGAGATAAGGGTATTGTGTAGAAAAAGGTAAGATGATTTCAATTCTCTGTTTAATTCATTTCAAATTTAATAAGGTGATGCATAAACAAAGGGATTTGACACATGTTCCAGGTTTTTCATGTGACCCATTTACATGAGTTATGTCACTTTTATTGTTTTCATAGTGTTAATCTTGTTTGGAGATCTTTCACTGCTATCTAGTGATTTCTTTCATCTTTCAAACTCAGCATGTTTACCTAACCTGCAGTTTGACTCATTTGTATTGGGAAGAGTTACTGCCCCTAGTTGTTTCATAATAAGAATCTTGTCTGAAGATTGAAAGGCTTCAATAGAAATAGGGTTTTTATAACATTTTCATCTTGTCCAGATTAGGCTTTAAAATAACATGAGATTGTACTTGCAAACAGCATTTGATTTGACCATATTTCAAAAAGTTATTGCCCTTTTTTCTTTTCAGTATTGTTGTCTAGAGATTTCTTTCAGTTCTCTCCCCCCCTCCCTCTCTCTCTCTCTCTCTCTCTCTCTTTCTCTTTCTCTTTATGTACATACAGCACTTCTTTCCCTCTCCCCTATAGTATAATAACATATATCACATAACAGCCTTCTTATTAATAAAAGAACACCTATCATATATCTACCCTAATATCAGTATAACACACATCAAATATCCACCCTGTTATCAGTATAACACACATCAAATATCCACTCTGTTATCAGTATAACACACATCAAATATCCACCCTGTTATCAGTATAACACACATCAAATATCCACCCTGTTATCAGTATAACACACATCAAATATCCACCCTGTTATCAGTATAACACACATCAAATATCCACCCTGTTATCAGTATAACACACATCAAATATCCACCCTGTTAACAGTATAACACACATCAAATATCCACCCTGTTATCAGTATAACACCCAACATATAACTACCCTGTCATCAGTATAACACCCAACATATAACTACCCTGTCATCATTATAACACCCAACATATAACTACAATGTCATCATTATAACACCCAACATATAACTACCCTGTCAACATTATAACACCCAACATATAACTACCCTGTCATCATTATAACACCCAACATATAACTACCCTGTCATCATTATAACACCCAACATATAACTACCCTATCATTATAACACTTAACATATAACTACCATGTTATCAGTGTAACACCCAACATATAACTACCTTGTTATCATTATAACACCCAACATATAACTACGTTGTCAACATTATAACACCCAACATATATCTACCCTGTTATCATTATAACACCCAACATATAACTACCCTGTTATCATTATAACACCCAACATATAACTACCCTGTCATCATTATAACACCCAACATATAACTACCCTGTCAACATAATAACACCCAACATATAACTACCCTGTTATCATTATAACACCCAACATATAACTACCCTGTTATCATTATAACACCCAACATATAACTACCCTGTCATCATTATAACACCCAACATATAACTACCCTGTTATCATTATAACACCCAACATATAACTACCCTGTTATCATTATAACACCCTACATATAACTACCCTGTCATCATTATAACACCCAACATATAACTACCCTGTTATCATTATAACACCCTACATATAACTACCCTGTCATCATTATAACACCCAACATATACCTACCCTGTCATCAGAAAAATAACACTCCTCACATCACTACGCTGTTAACTATAACACCTATGATATAACTACCCTATTTCAGTGTAATAACACTCCTCACATCACTACGCTGTTAACTGTAACACCTACGATATAACTACCCTGTTTTCAGTGTAATAACACTCCTCACATCACTACGCTGTTAACTATAACACCTACGATATAACTACCCTGTTTTCAGTGTAATAACACTCCTCACATCACTACGCTGTTGACTATAACACCTATGATATAACTACCCTGTTTTCAGTATAATAGCACTTCTCACATCACTAAGCTGTTAACTATAACACCTATGATATAACTACCCTGTTTTCAGTGTAATAACACTCCTCACATCACTACGCTGTTAACTATAACACCTATGATATAACTACCCTGTTTTCAGTGTAATAACACTTCTCACATCACTAAGCTGTTAACTATAACACCTATGATATAACTACTCTGTTTTCAGTGTAATAACACTCCTCACATCACTACGCTGTTGACTATAACACCTATGATATAACTACCCTATTTCAGTGTAATAGCACTTCTCACATCACTAAGCTGTTAACTATAACACCTATGATATATCTACCCTGTATATTTACATCCATCATATTGAATTAGTATGACCACATGTGTAATAACACCTTGCAGATCTGTGATTGGCTGAAGGTATGTTACCATGGTTTCTATTGTGATGTCATAACCTTGTTAATTCGTATTATCTGCCTGTCTAATATCATGTTTGATTCATGAATGATTGAAAACTTGTCTAAGTTATGTAATCTTCAATTTGTTTCCATTTTTTATGAGATCTATAGAACCTGCCCTGTATATGGAAAAATTCTTAAGATTTGTTTTATACATCTCATTTGAATGGAAATAAATGTAAGAACTTCTATAAATTATCATGTTTTGTATTCTGTACAATTACCCTCTTTCTTATACAGCAATTTGTATTTTACTGCAGAATTTGGTACACTTACTGCTTAAGATGTAAAGTTATTGTGTACAGTAAATTCTCGTCTATTTGCTTCATCATCAGCTGTTATTATTATTATATTCATTATCTAACAACACACAAGTCTGAGAAGTCAGATGGTGATTGTGCCTTTACATTTATCAGTTATCTCTCTCCTGATAAGGATACAACCTGCCTGATAACCGTCACATCATAACATGGGTATCACATGTAAATATAGATGTTGTACAAATAGTTAGGATTTAATTCATGTAAAGTGTACACTATTGTAATTGTTTTAATGTTACTAGAAATGTTGTAATAGGGCAGGTAATCCCACCCAAGAATGCATCGTTTTAGCACACATTTTGTATAGTGGAAATCCTTTTGGCATTCATTATATATACTATACAACATTTTGGCAAATACTATGTATCCCAGATACAGAGTACATCATTTTGGCAAACAATTTGTACAGTGTCATGTTGTACATACACTTGCTTGTTATATGCATACCAAACATATCTGGTGCCAAAATTTGCGTAGGTGCTTCTGTTGTGTGTCATAGTGATGTTTGTAATGTATGCATTAACAGACAGGTAAACATTGGAGACTCATAATTCAGTGTATTTATTCTAATATCTAACCTTATGTAAACACAGTCACACCATCACTGTATACAGCCCTGGCCTGTGTTTACACCAAATATGGACCAATTTATACCATTCCTGTTGTTGTAGAATGTTATCTTGTCTAATCACACAATTCTTTCATGGGATTAAATTACCTCAAATCTGTTAAGCGTTTTGTTTTTCATTGTTCTTTACATCCAATTTGCAATGTAAAATTTTACTTTTGTGAAAAGTTGGACAAGTCATGATGGGGGTAGATTTCACCTTAATGTCACTAACAACCTTGTGGTTAGGCCAACGATCCAGACAAACATCCTAATCAGAAGGAATGGTCTACAGAACCAGATATAGTGAAAAAGACCTATAAAAGAGTATATACACATTGTCAGACTAATGCTACCTAACCTGCTACTTTTGCATTTTCACATTTACCATAGATATATTTTCAATATCCTCCTTCTACCAACTTTTCAAATGCTTATCAAACATTTTACACATATTATGTTGATTATCAAGTCCTGACCACCTGGGGTCAAAATTGAGGTCACTGTTACTATACATAGATTTTCTACATCCACACTCTATCAACTCCATTTTTGATTCAAAAGTCATGAAACTTTAACACATTCACAGTCATCACTTTCTATATGAGTTTGGTTTGAGTCCCAATTCTTAACTAGTTTGGGTAAAAAATAAGGTGTCCCTTTCTATTGTTAAAATTTTCGAGGTTACAAGATTGATTAGAAACTATCAAATTCACTGATAATTTCTACTACGCATCAATCAATAAATAAAATGGATTGTTATTAGAAATTCATATCTTTATAAAACAAGTTTAATCAGTTGCTAACAAGAGAGGATTCAAATTGTGTATGATGTCGTGTTACATTAGAACTGTCAGAAAAAGGCTTCACCATATAAAGAACAAATAACCAACAAACAGTTATAAGATATTTAATATCTTTTATAATGATAATACATTACCATGACAACAATTATTTGGAAGTAAAGTAAACGTATAAAAGGCATAGTAAGTCAAATATAATATACCCAAGAATTACCTCCCTTGATATAACTGCAGTGGTGTTTTTAACCTCCCCGTTATTGAAGAACTGGAGTTATCTCCCCTAATATCCTAAGATAGGTTACATCTCATGACATCAGAAAAAGATGACAACAGTTTTCCCTCCATCAATACAGATAATCTTGATTTATATTTATCTCCCGCAGTTAAATCAATTATTGAGATATGTAGCTACAGAGTAGACTTAAATGCAACTTTATGCAGTGTGAGACCTATCAAAACAGGTGTCAATATCATATATAATCTAGGTTCTTCTTAGTTACTAACAATACATTTAGGAAAATCAAATATTGATTTGTCACATCTATTACCAAATTCAAAAAAAATATATATGAGCATTCTCCTTGAATTTGATAAGTCTAACTAAAACATTAGTAAATTGTGCCAAACTTTATCTTTCATTGTGATCCCCACTTGGCAGTACACACTTAATGATACAAACATGCTTTATAAACAGAGTGATCTCCTTTCACTCGAATCGTCATACAAATAAATTAAATCTTTCATATCAATAAATTCTAAACATTTCACAACACTATAATGTGTGAACACAACACTGACCCCATTATAATGTTATGCTTAAGAAAACAGCACTACACACAGGAGTGTTCAGTCAATCATATCACCGAACACTCTTGTGTTCAGTCAACTATACCATGGTATAAGATGTGTTCAATCAACCATACAACAAAAATCTGATGTGTCGGTCAACCATGTAACAACATACTGGTGTGTTAGTCAACCATATCACAACATACTGGTGAGTTCAGTTAACAATAGCAAAACATATCAATGTCTCCAGTCAACTATAGCACTGTATACTTGTTTTAATCGGTCAAGCAAAGCACAGCATACTGTTGTGTTCAGTCAACCAAAGCACAACATGACATTATGTTCAAAATTTAAATGCAGATTAAACTCTTTTGGTGCTCGGTCAATCATATCACAACATACTGTCAAGTTCAGTCAACCATGTGATAAGTCAAGAAGATGTTGCACCCAGCCATTGATGACCAAAGTACACAGCCCACAACAAACGTAAGAAACAGCACAGAAGTAAGAAACATCAATGCTGTTGGTTTATGTTATGATACCACTCTGAACAGACTGTATCCTACATATCGAAAGTGACTCAGCACAACAGCCATGTGATTACATACATCACACCAATAATGTTGTCATGGCTACAGTTACAACAGATATAGACAGACTATATTACATCCTCAATACTCCAGGGGTTATGATCATTTTCGCTCTACATTCCTGAAACATTTCATGGCGAAATCAAAGGCACAAATGAAGTAATTTTGATTAGTCTAAAGTTGATTCCAGGTGAAAAAACTGACCAATTACAGACTGATATGTTCATTTGAAGATTACAAAAGAGCGACACCCAACTTCAAAGCCAGTATGACATACCGTCATGTGATCCTGAGATTTGTTTAATGTATATCAAAGGATCAAACTAGTTTTCTTGTCTTGTCCACAAGGTGTTGCACACAGAACCTTCAATTTTGCCATGATATGTTCCAGGGGTAGAGACAGCAATATCGAATGTAACCAGGGGTAAATATTGAGTGTAACCTCAAGAGTATCGAGGAAAACTACACTACAGATCTGGCATTCCAATATCAGGTAATGTTTTTATTGATTTCCAAGATAAATGCTATAAATGGATTTCATTTAGAAAATGACTGAAATGTTTCACTTTATGTAACAGAATATATATGCTGTCTTAAATATTTTCATACCTTTTGTGTCCAGTTCCTCACATGAAAGTTTCCTTAGTCTGGAGAGGTGTCACATAAAACATATTCCTGAAGTTACTTGGAATCACTAACATTTCATAGTGTTTTAGAATAATAACGTCAAATCAAGCATAAACAAACAAGAAATAACAAACAGCAGTCAAGAATATAGAAAGAAAACTAAGAAACCATCCCATTGTAATGCCTTCAGTTACATGTTGCAACACACAATATCACATCACATTAGGTTGACTTGTATCAGAATGCAATACATCAGTCAGACTCATCTGATCACGATACAGTTCACTGACTCGGATCACATCACAATACAGCTCACCGATTCGGTTCACATTGCAATACAGCTAAGTGACTCTAATCCACAGCCTCCACTTAGAGTGGTCAAGTTTATTCTTACATCCAATATCACAAAAAAACTTTTTTCTTCATTCTGACCAGCAAGCGCAAGATGCACTTTCACAGATTTTGTCTTGTCATCACTTTCAACATACACAAAATATGTTTAGTCATCACTTTCAACATACACAAAAACTACCTTGTCATTCCTTTTAACATACACAAATATTGACTCATCATCACATTTTACACAGATTGGTCATAGCAACATTCCCTTCTTTTCACAGAAGTCAATTGTTTTCCTTTCACTTTGTATCAAGATATCATATGCCATCAATTCTTTTTCAGAAAGAAATGAGACGTTTTTCAAGTAAATTCTCCTAAAATATGCACCACAATATTTTCCTGGTAACAAACATACAGGTCTCTATATAAAACATCTATACTGACAGGGTGTCTAAAAGTCATTCTACCAAACAATGAATAACAAATCATCACACACACGGCTTGGTCAGCCACTGAGCGGGTCCTCGCGACAGTTTATCGCATACAACAATCTTTGGGTCATGATTTCTTGTGAGGAATACTGTGGTAGTTTGATCATAAACATACATGTCTCCACCCGAATGTAACGCGAGTCTGGTGTACCTACAACAAAAAGCAAAGATTGAAGGTTTTCTATGCAAAGAATACATTCTTGATAGCATAAGAAAAGTCAGGCGGTATAACAGCTTATTTAACACTTTAGGTTTAGGCATTTCAAAAGAATATAGAAATAGTTCAATCAAAGTTAGTGTTTCTGACACGAGCCGTCCCCAAGAGGAGATAACTTATATCTACATCTGCTGGAGTGGCTGACCCACGGCTAATACCAGCTGAATTATTTGTATCATGTGAAGTTGAGGTCAATACTTGACATACCTGCCCCATCAGGAGGAGCTATCTTCATAGGGTAGGGAGGTACGTGTGTGGAATCAGCCCCACCCTCCTTACAGGGACATGTCTGGGGTATCCGCTCCTGGTTACAGGCAAACTTGATGAAGCGACACAGGTCATCAGGACTTAAACCCTCTAAGGTATTCCAGAAATACTCTATGTGGGTGTCTGTTTCCATTAGTCCCACCTGGTACATGGTGTGAGCCTAGGGATAAAAACATTGAGCATCAGAAAAATCAACACACTTTACTACGACACAATCAATGAAACCTACACACTTATTGTTAACACAATGTCATAGTTTCACGAACGCCTCATCTCCCTATAATGTCTTTCTATTAAAATTTCTCAAAGGTAGCAAGTGGATTATGATGACCGCTAGTGTGTTGTTACATCTCAAACCCACAGAGGGACACCTTTATGATCAATTAGACTGGACAATTCAATCTGCTATAGGATTATTATAGATTTTCATATTATAAAAATTTTGTGTAACTAGGGTGTAACTAGGGTGTAACTAGGGTGTCACAATGGGTAATAAGTGAATAATAATATTTTTTTCAGAAAAGATTGAACATCACAGGACTATACTAATGTCAATCAAGTTTTAAAATGTCTCCATTTTCTGAAGGATTTTTACCTTTAAAAAGTCCAGGTCAACAACTGGAATACCACAGGTACGAATCTCCATGTCAAGGGGAGACAAGAGGAAAAGTAACTGTATGGGGATGAGTGAGGCCAGACCACAATGGAGGGCCAGTACTCTCTCATCACACTGTAGTTCCTGCATCCTGAGACACCGTATAGCGTCCAAGTATTCCTGTCGGTTCTCCCAACTGTGAAACATACGCAAATGCATCTTCCTCATTTCTCATTCTCATTTACCTTAACATATATTTATTATACAAATGATATAGTCAATCAGAAATACTGAAATTAAAATACCTTGTTTCAGAAAATATTACATTTTAAAAATGTTTCCAAGCTGACATATTATCTTACTATAAGATATTAAAGATTGACTTTTGACACTTCCTATCATGGTACACAAGTAGTAGTAATGTAGTTTAAGCAAAATATAAAATACATTTCTTTGAAAATCACCAAACTTTTGAAAACTTTTGTTTATTCACTGACTATCTTACTATGAGATAGTCAATAATGACCTTTGACACTCACCATACCAGTATATTGTTACCCCTTGGAACCAGTTCCACCTCGTCTCCTGTCAGGGAGTTGAACACAAACCTTGGGTAGACATCAGCACACAATGTCTGGAGTTCAGCTTCTGACTCACACTACAGGTAAATCAACATTAAGAGTTATTTCTACACTGAAAGCCTGTCAGTGTAACATGCAATTATTCCTAAAGGTCAGTCAACAAATAAGGTAGTGACAGGTACATTTACCGTAAATTTTCGCGTATAGTGCGCACTTTTTCAAGCTAAAACTGTCATGTCAAAAAGGGGGTGCGCTTTATACGCAGGAACATGCCATTCTTGGGGTTATCATTCACGAGTTCTGCGTCTGCCATATTGGATTACCTCCCTTCATATAGTTATATGTAAAAGTCGTCGGTCTTATATGATAGTTTGGAGATAAAAACAACAACAAAAAGGTAAAATAAAATAAATTTCGAATGTTTTAATCATTGACCATTCACGCTAGCATTACAGTGAATCTATGTTTTTTGTTTTTTTCGTTTCCCGTCGTTCGAATAGTGACGGTCTTACTATTGGTCGGGGCTATAGTAGTGTCTGAATTTCTGTCTCATTTTAATGATGTATCTGTGGAATTCAATGAGTCCGGAAGTTTTTGTGCGATTATCGTTCTGTTCATAAATCAGACAGCCCATCCCACCGATGCCCAAATTTGGTGACCCCATGACCTATCTTGATCTGCATGGCCCGCACGCGCAGTTCTGTTGTACTGGCAGCGATGCTGGCATATTGGCGATCGCATACAGAGTTGAACAGCTCTCTCTCCATCTCTGGGTTTCGCGGTAACCAGTAATCAATTAATCTTTCTGTAGAAAATCTTTCTTTTTTTTTTTTAATCTCGCCCCAAAAAAAGTACCTGCGCACTAAACCCGAGTGCGCACTATACCCGCAAATTTATGGTAGTTCTGAGAGATAACTGTCAACAGCTTACAGGTTTGGATATTGAGCTTGTCAAAATTTAATTGCAGTATCAATATACCACTAAAATTACCACATGAAATTTGATTAAACAATACTATAATACATGTTGCTACTTGTGTTGACAGGTTGAATGCTTAAAATATCTATTGTACACAGAGATGTCTGAATGGAAAAAAATTACCATTTCTATTTTCTTCACATAGTTGTAAGTTATTTGGTCAGCTTCCTGGAGGTCAGTAACAGGGTCAAGGTTCACTCCGACCAATACCTTCCAGAAACAGCTCAGCAGGTCCATACCTAAAGGGATGTCAGCTCTCATCGTGATCCCAAGTAACTGTACAATAAAAGATAAAATATTGTTAATACCCCAGGGGATGTCAGCCCTTTTGTGATCGCCAATGTAGTCAATAATTTCAAACATTTTTTGTCTACTGAAATATGACTGAAAGCATTGCATTACCTTGTCTCAGATATATATCATTTCACCTTAATCTGATTCCTTGAAACACATCACTAAAGACTTCCATCTTAGATATTCATATTTTATTATAACAAATAATATAAGATACCTGTCCAAAAAACTGCAGAAGTCGTTCCTCAGGGAACGTCATTGAGCCGGGTTTCAGGATGTGTTTGCCCATGTTGTTTGTACTATTACACGGCACCAACATCCGAACAAGTGATCCTTGTAACTCTTTAGCTACCTGAGACAGGAACTGACGGAAGGAGCCACCTGTTAAAATAGTATAGAGATCAGTTATCACAACAACTTGCATTATTTTAGGATCAGAAAATGAAAAAGAAATGGTTAGGGATTTAAGATTAACTTAGTTAGCCTCACCAACAGGTCCACAGTGAGATCATGTTAAAGGAGCAGCCTCACCAACTGATCCACAGTGGGATCATATTTAAGTAACAGGTGATATTTCTCTACACACCAGTCTCACATCGAACATTAAAATAGAGCTTTACTTACTTGTTCCATGTACCTCTTCTCCTGTAAGCCTCACGTTGAAGGAGTAGGTGGGATCTCCTCCACATGCCAGTCTCACACAGAGCTGACTTGAGGGTACTGATGACAACTGTCTGAACGCCTGACACAGCCATGTTGACACAGATGTCTTTTCCTCCCCTACAACCGCAAACATACAGAGATTTTTTTAAAATAGACATGCTTATTACGGACATGAAAGCATAGGCCTGGTTAATGTATTTATAGCAACTTTATGTGGCAGACCTTTGCCAGAAAGTAGTGCAGTATCATATGTTTGCCTGTAAAATTTGTCATTTATAATGAGTATAAACGCTGTTACAAGATTGTTTGATGCTTATATTACCAATCTGATTTTAACTCGATTTTAACAAAAATAATTCATTAATGACATTCCATTAAATAGAACAATCATTTAGAAAGTAGACCATCAACATTTCTGTCCTCAAATACTGATATCATACTGGTGAGGTACTGAATGGTATCAGTTTATATAACAGCATTGTTGTCCAAATGTAAATATCAGGTCTTTAATAGATACAAATTATAATGTTAAAAACTAGAAAGAATGTGCTGTTTCTTATTTAGCATAACCATAAACCATGAATGATTTTGAAACTATTGAGAAAGATACAGAAGGGTTACAGTAATGCGTCATTCTCAATCCTTACCACTAAATGTTTCTAGAGGGTCCAGTACAACTTCAGGGGCAGCCTGGTCTGGCTTTCGCTGTGTTGTGGCATTCAGGACACGGTTAATCAAGTTGATCTTGGAGTCATAGAATATGAGATGTCTGACTTTAGAGAGCAGAGCAGCGGTGCTGCGGTTACAGGTGTTGGCAGGTCGAAGGTCAACCAAAGGCAGAAAGAAGGTCTCCAAGGTGTTGTTCAGGGACTGAAGGAGAGCAAATCTCAGACGCACACTCTCCACAGGAACACCTGTAATACAGTGTTATATTTATAAGGATCGAAATGCTACTGATTTGAAAATTATAAACTGGTTATGGTGTAAGATGATTTTATACAGGCAGTATTTTTTAACATTATTCTTCCCTGCCAGTAAGAAAGTAGACAAAACACAGGATTGAGAGTTTTCAAACTTACAATAAAACAACCCTATCCCAGCGACATAAAACATCGTTACTATAAATTATATCTTTCTATTCTGCAGTATATCTAATGCTATAGAAATTGTTTTATACAAGGAACTGCATTTTATTATTTTGGGGAAATAATACACTTGTGGGGAAAAACAATAACTTGAATACAAAAGTCATACTCTGTTACATGAATTCTTTACTTTTAAAGTTTAGGTATAAAAAAAACACAAAAATTTAAACAAATGAAAAAAGGCAACCTACAAATGGTATAAAAGATTATCTAAGGAATGTAGCTATAATGATGAGTACCTTGGAGACAGCTATACATGCCACTACTGAGATCTGATTCTGCTAACTGTACTTCGTGAGGATGAAGACGTGACGGTGCCACAGAAAGTTTCCTACAGAAGGCGTTGATGTATTGCACTAGGGAAGTGTCCATGTCAAGTGACCACTGACTGGCCATCTGTTGGGCCTGGCTATTGTCCAAACAGGCACACCTGTAGCAAGAATAACACCAATGTAAAACTGACAATCATACAGGTAATCTACCTGTAAAACTATTAAATATTGAGGTATCTACCTGTCTAGCTTATTCAGCCTACAATAACTCAGAGGTCCAACAAGGGGTACCTCTCCATCGGAGGATGGGCTTATTGCAGGACAAAAAGATGGCCAACACGTTATCTCTGACTCAATTATGGGATGTACACTTATCACAGGACAATATGCCCATAAAACCAACACATTATCTATGACTCAAAGTCAGGATATAGGCTTATTACAAGGTAATTTAAAGTGTTTGTCAGTCATTCTTTTTAAACTGCAATAAATAAGGATGGGCTTATTGCTGGATAAATACACATTTCTAAAAGTGAGATAAAGTAAGTCAAGTCAAAATGAGAAACTTCAAATTGTTCAGTTTCACACCAAAATACTTAAAGAAATTAAAACATTTTTTTTTGTAAATAATCCATGTCTTATACTATATTACTGTCATTGATTAGTGAAACACACCAAAGTGATGCAGTGATTCTCTATACTTATACTATATCACTGTCACTGATTAGTGAAACACACCAAAGTGATGCAGTGATTCTCTATACTTTTGTTGACATTGATAAATAGCGTATTTCTTTCTGAAGAGTATATTTTGAGATATTGAGATATCTTGTTCAATAAGTACCTTTCAAAGTTTAAATCAAATCCACAAGACAAGAATGCCCTCCAGACTGCTCGGACATCTTGCCTGGCCATCTCTAGTACATACTGGAGGAAGCCATCTAGTGTCAGGTACTTTGAATCATCATGTAACCATGACTACAGAACAAACAAAACAATTTTAAAAATAGTAAAACACAGTACAAGTTTATACCCTAACTTTCCTTGTGTCCAGAAAATATCTTCAAGTTGTACAGACAGTTTCTCTTTGTATACAGTTGAGAAAAAGAATCTTTAAGTAAATGATGTTTTTATCTTGACATTTTACTGCAAAATAATGTCATTCCTTTTAATATAAAATTTGACCTTTTAACCTGGTCTGATCAGCACCATAATGATAGGTTGCTGAGGTTATGATACTTTGAGGAGTTAAATAGGAAGTAAATCTCATGAGACACTCTAAAGCTGTAACTTTCATCAGGAACAGAACATGGTGGGATAGACAAATATGAGTAACATTCTACAATACCCTCCCCCCTCCCTCCCCTCACTCCCTCTCTCACCCTCACCCCACCAATAACCCCAAAATGACAGTCATCAAAACAAAATACATTGAAAAATGTCAGAAGCATTACTCATATATTAACAAACCTTGCTTCCCCTGGCTGCTGCGTCTGATGACCCTGCTTCCTTAGAGGATTTCTCTACACCATCCTTCCCCTTACTTTTTCGGTCTTTGTGACTGGCCCTAAAAAAATATGAAAATTGTTACTAAAAAAGAGATATATGAATTCTTTTGTTTAAAGAAACAAAGAAAAAGAATGTTAATGACTTGTCACTGAAGTCACTTTGTTAATTAAGTAACAAACCGTTGCGGTTTAAGGATCTACTCAATGTCTACAAAAGACTATACTTACTTATCAACAACTCCCATCACCAACTTCTCCTTTGAAGAACGAGGAGACTTCTTGGCTGACTTTCCCTTCCCATTCTTATCTGGGGACCTGACAAACAAAATGGTACAAAAGAAGCCAGTAACATCAGTTTCTCTGGGATGTTTAAAACAAATGTCAGTGGCTAATTTTCCAATAACTAAGAAAGTTTTAGCATTTCCATTTAATTCCATAACAATTTTTAACTGAAAAACTACTTACCTGTGTTAGGAAGAGCATTTTAAATTTACTACTCAAGAGGCAAGGTAAAAGCTTAGAGCCCTTGGATTTTAAAGTTAAGTTTTCCTTTACCAAACAGTGAATTTTGAAAGTATGAAGGTTTGGTGGTCAAAATATCTAAAATTAAGTTTTTGTTCTCGTGATGATTTTTTGAAAGATTAGGTTTCATAAAGTTATTTAAAATCAAATAATCAATATGTCTTCTTCAAGTAGACTCCAGAATATGTGTAACAAGAAATAATAATTTTTTTGTTTCATTCTCAGCTTTTTGTAAGAACATGCATTCTGTATTTTCGATGCAATCTTTTAAAAATAACTCCCTCTTTTATTAAAAGATATCACAGTGTTGAAATCTACCATAAACTTCCAGAGAAGCCTTTACAATGCCCTATATCAGCTTATAGGTTCAACTTTTGGTAATAAAGTATATGAAACGTCAAAGGTTTTAAATGTTACATTGAAATTCATTTTACATTGAATTATGTCCTACTTCATTCAAACAAAATTTTCATTAATTCTTAAACTTAGGCTTTTCCTTAACTATCATCTGAAATAACCTAGTATTGAATGCGATAAAATAACGGGTAAACTTACATTTCCTTGTCAGGTGATTTCACCATGCCATAGCGACGAAGCACCTGCATCACCTGTTCAGCAAGGGATTTCTTTGGTGGTTTAATGTGATTGAAGAAAACACAGAGGAGATTCTCAGGCATGTTCTGTAGGATCTGGTCCTTACCCAGACATATAAAGCCAGACTCTTGTTTATATTCCCCTGTACCATGTTTCTGCTCCATTATAAAACAGCTGTGGAATATCTCTATCAGGGCAAGAGTGGCTGCATCAGAAATCTCTTTCTGGTCGTCACTGTTGAAGAACATATACTGTAGGTAGTGCTCCAAAGCATCGTTGCCGTCCCGCTCAGCAATAAGGGAGGCGTTAACAGTGTCCACTGAGAGGATCTCCTCAGGTACATCTTGTACATCCTCCTGATCTGGTAATGTAGCCACCACCAGAGACTTGCACTTAAGTAAAGCTTTCTGGACCACCTCCACTTTTGCCCGTGACAACACACTGATAACAGCATACCCACATAACTGGTCAGGTTTGACATTGCTCATGTCTTTTACTGATGGCTCTGACTTTGTGGGTTTATCTTCCTCTTTTGTCTGTTTTGTGAAATCACTTGCACCAGGTAAAGGTTCAGCATCAGCCAGTTTCCTTCCAGGGCGGCCTTTTGGCAAGAAAATATCGTCCTTGTAAATGCCACCACTTGGTTTACTGGCCCTGCGTATGGCACATTTTATAACCTCGGCATCTACCTCACTGTTGATGCCTGTGATGACTAGGAGACGGTTGTGAGCAGAAGGAGAATTCAAGACCTGAGCAGCATCAGATACCGCTGCAGCCAGAGCACCTTCACCATGTTTCTCGCTGAAGGCTAGACAGCGGAGGATCTGAGAGACTGTCAGGGCACGATGAAACCACAGCATATCCTCTGGTTTGGTGACTGACTGACTACCTCCACTAGTACTGGGGACGACTGAAGTGTTACTTGTGGAGGAGGATGACTCGGCAGTGCACATAGAGGATGAACTTGCACTCGGTGTAGAAACATCACTCTCACTCACTCGAGGACTTCCACCTGTCCTCTTTGGCACTGCACCTCCTCTCTCTTTATCTCGTTTGGCCTTCAGCTTCTTCTTCTTGGCTGAAGAAGTGGGACTACCAAGAGCATGAAGTGAGCTAGAAGCTCCAGCCTCTGTTGATGATGTAGAACCTAATGGTGACTTTGGATTGTCTTTGTGTTTGACTTCTGCTATTGCAAGATTGACCTCAAGTAAACCTTGGAAGTAGGTGGAGAAGCGACCTTTGTCACTGACACCGATTCCAATGCCCTGACCACTAGAGTGTGTTGCAGAGGGCCAGCCTTTTGTTTCCTCCTCGTAGAGTCGTTGAAGCTCTGCCTGGAGTTGTACAAGCACACCTTGGGTGGTGTTGAGGTGGGGATGGGGGGTGGGAAGGGAGCATCCATTTGTGCCCTCACTGTAGTGGAGGATGCGGAGAGACTGGGCCAGTAGGTGGAACATATACTCCTTTATTAGAGCTGGGATGTTACTTGTCCATAGGTGTCGACACACTAGTTCTATGATGTGTCTGAACACAGTAGGAGTTATCACAATATTGTCCACACTCCACAGACTCTCATGCATGTCCTTGCCTGCAAGAGATTTGTTACTGACCTCAGGAGATGTACTGTCCTGTGGTCCACAGCTATGAGTGCCACAACCATACCGGTCGGATATCAGGGTCTCAATGTATGCTACTGCCAGTAGGAATTGTGGGGGAAGGGCGTGGATGGTGAGCAGTACCCCAGGAGGTGGGGACACACCCACTCTCAGGTGTATACGGTCACATGGAACAATTGCAGGCGTATACTGTTCATTTTGATTACTAGTCGATGATGTGTCCCTTGGGTAACTAACCACTTCCTGTTTGGTTGCCTGACCAGTTTTCTTGACACGATGGCCTGTGTAGGAGAAAACTCGAGCCCATGGAGATTTGTACAAGGATGTACTGAAAGAAACAAAAGAGTCTCTCATACAGTGAACCACACAGAAAGTCATCAATAATACACAGAATATCATGAAACATTGAAACACAAGATTGTATTCATTACAGATTGGCAAACATAATTTTCATTAATCACTAAGTAATTACCCATATATTTTCTGTATTCTAGAGAACCTGAAAGTGAATGATACAATCTGACTTCAGGGATATACTAAAGCCACAGTACTTACTCCTTCTTAGCAGCTTTAAGGTCAGTTTTACAGGACACTACCAGACAAGCTGCCCCAGGAAAGTCAATGTCCGTGTTTACCTTGACCTCAGTCACCGGAAATTCTTCATATGGGAACATCTCTGGGGAAGTCTACAAAATCATTTGACATTTCATCATACTGTAATACTGTAATACTGTCATACCGTCATACTGTCATACTGTAATATTGTCATACTGTAATACTGTAATACTGTCACACTGTAATACTGTAATACTGTCATACTGTCATACTGTAATACTGTCATACTGTAATACTGTCATACTGTAATACTGTAATACTGTCGTACCGTCATACTGTCATACTGTAATATTGTCATACTGTAATACTGTAATACTGTCACACTGTAATACTGTAATACTGTCATACTGTCATACTGTCATACTGTAATACTGTCATACTGTAATACTGTAATACTGTCATACTGTAATACTGTCATACTGTCATACTGTAATACTGTCATACTGTAATACTGTCATACTGTAATACTGTCATACTGTAATACTCTAATACTGTCATACTGTCATACTGTAATACTGTAATATTGTAATACTGTAATACTGTCATACTGTAATACTGTCGTACTGTAATACTGTAATACTGTCATACTGTAATACTGTCATACTGTCATACTGTCATACTGTAATACTGTAATACTGTCACACTGTAATACTGTAATACTGTAATACTGTCATACTGTCATACTGTCATAGCTGTCATACTGTCATACTGTCATACTGTAATACTGTAATACTGTCGTACTGTAATACTGTAATACTGTCATACTGTAATACTGTCATACTGTAATACTGTCATACTGTCATACTGTCATACTGTAATACTGTCATACTGTCATACTGTCATACTGTAATACTGTAATACTGTCATACTGTCATACTGTAATACTGTTATACTGTCATACTGTAATACTGTAATACTGTCATACTGTAATACTGTCATACTGTAATACTGTAATACTGTAATCATACTGTAATATTGTAATACTGTAATACTGTCATACTGTAATACTGTCGTACTGTAATACTGTCATACTGTCATACTGTAATACTGTAATACTGTCATACGGTAATACTGTAATTTTTTCTTTTTCATTTCTCATGATATTTGCATATATAGATGTTTATTTCAAATCTAAACAATACATGCATCTTACCTGTAAGCACAAGCACAGTTGATTGGTCAGTTCTATGAGGTAATCTTCCCCCTGATTGGCCGCCCGTGCAATGGCCACTGCAAGCTCTCGTTTGAGTTTGTCCTCATCACAGTAGAGAAGACGAGTAAGCAGACATGACTGACTTGACAGACATTGTTGGAGCGAGGAGGCCATGGTGAGGGAGGAAGCCTTGATTGTGCCGTGGGGCTGGGGAGCACACAACAGCTCATTGGATAGCAGCTGTAGGTTTTCAATGTCCAACTGCTGTAGTAGGGCAGCACTTGCAGCCATCCCTGATCCAAGGCTTGCTGAACATGACCCCAGTTCCATGGCTGGAGAGTTACAGTGATCTATGAGTTTGAGTAGAGCAGTCCTGCAGTACATGCGCACCAATACAGATTCACTTCGAAGAAGTTCCTTGTGTATGTGTACATTACTGGTGTCCATGATTTGACCCCCTGTAATGGTTGAACGTCGTAGTCCTTGAGCGGGCCGTTCTAACATATCTATGGGGTACCAGAACCTCACTAGTACACCTTCACTTCTCAAGTAGGTTTCCACTTGTACCAGCTCATTAGACTGAAACACAAAGTTACATAACAAAAATCATAAACAAGTATATGCAGATGCTTTCTTACTAAGTTATTACTATACAATTCTAACGCTTATTTATAACAGCTGAAGCACACTACTTCAAATGTCAGAAATCAAAACATGTCACCCGCCTACTTACATTGTCTACATCTAGCACAGTGCCAGTGAGACCAAACGTCCTCAACATGCTCCGGACAGCAAACTTTGGCAGCACAGTAGTTCCTGCTGTACTTGTTTCAGCGGTATTCCTTATCACTACTGCTGTTCCCTTCTTAACTCGCTCTATGGTGAATTTGGCAAGGTCCTCTTTGATGTCGTCTATTGTTGGCAGGTGTAGGTCGCGTGGGATACCGCCATTTTCCTCATATAGAAACTCAACTGTCTGTCGGGCAATGTCTGTCATTCCTGTTCACAAAAACATCTATTACAATTTCTTTTTATTGTAAGCAAAGCATAATAATCATGTGCAGTTATAATTCTGAAACAGCAAAACACTGTCAAGAAATAAAACATTCTTGCTGAACAAGAACATATTCAGCAATGAAACTTTTCCTTCCTACGAAATAAGACCCATTCTGAATGATAACTTACCTAATTGTAGAGCTCCTCTAATTTGTTCCAGTCCATCTTTACGTTCAGCTTCATTCCTGAAGCGTCGTCGTATAACAGGGAACACTTTCTGCTCCCAAGCCTTGACTAGGAGAGCATAGTGATCTTCAGATCCCTGATCATCCTCGACTATGTCCTCATCTGACTCATCATCCTGGGGGGCAGGGTTAGCTCGCTGGTCTGGCCCCGTTGTCACAAAGTTATCATAACTACTGAACAACTTGTACTGTAGGCATCCTTCAGGCTCATACTCTACAAAACAAAGAGGTTTTTTTTGGATTTTAACCTTAAAACTTCTTGAGATTTTTTTCATTCTGTTCTCTAAATAATATAAACACTAGAAACTTTTAACCGAGATAATTATAAATTACCTTTTTGTGCTTTGGGTATGACAGCCATCTTGGAAGGTGGGCCAGTTGGTGATTTGACCACCTCGGCTGTTGTGGCTTCTGGCGTGTTTGGGAGGCTGCTATCACTCTCGCTGTCAGAGGCAGAATGGAATGGCAGCTGGCCGAAGCTTTCTCTCATCTCTCTGGTTAGATCATCAGCAGCATCTGCAGCATCCCTGTGCTGCTGGCCTTCCGCAAATGCAAATGGTCTTGCTCCAAAATTAGCACGAATTCTGGTATTCTAGTGAAACAGATAAGTAAGGACACAATATATAAACCATATAACAAGTTACTATTGTATTTCAAGTCTTCTGGATATATAAAGCCAACTTTTAGAAACATCCTGTGAACTAATGTGTAATAATTATAGGCATTATCTATTATGAGAAAGATTATGAACTCGAAAATTCTATGACACATACGTTGATATTAAATGTAATAATTAAGTATACCATTAACCAGTCATAATAAGCTATATTTGAAATAAAATCAAAATCTATTTTAAAGTCTACATGTTGACACAAATCAGAGAAGAGAGACCCAACAGAGATGAATGTAGAGAGCCATATTCTTATTTATCACATAATCTGCCTGTTATCCAGTGAATTGGCCGATCGACAACGCAAAGATAACCACGCCTACCGAAAATAAAGGGAGGCTACTCTTACCATCTCCGACAAACAAAGTGGCGTCAGCATTGAACGTCATTCCCAATGATATCGGACTTAATTATACTTCTAACATGTCGTTGAAGAAAAAACTAAAAGCAAACGGTTTCGTGTCTGGGTCATACTTTCAAAGAGCGTCCTTCCAAACAAGAGACGATGATACAGTTGAAATTAGTGGCCATGTTTTCCCCAGTCAGCGGAAAAATTTGGGGATATACCCGTTTTCGGTCGAATATTTATGAGGTTTTTCCTTTTCAAATAAGGTTAACATGGCAAATCACTGCATTTATTCAATATATATACCAATCAATAGGGAATTCAAAATACTAAATTTGTATCTATGAATTACAGCCCTTTCCGTTATTGAAGGAGTAAAAACTGTCTTTTTCATTTGACGCATATTGCCAGGACCCAGTAAGTCGCCACATTACTACGATCCGTTTTTCAGACGAGTATTTCTGAGACGGACTTTTACTTTTTAAACTAATTTTATATGTGGTAGCAGTGCAATAATTAAATAAAGAAATATACCGGTCGTTAGGGAATTTAATAACCTAAAATTATGTATATATATTTTTTAGCCATTTTCGTCCTTGAATGACTTATAACAGTCCATTTAAGTAGTCATGTACTTTCATTTCCCTATACTCCATTTCCCTATACTCGCCATGTTAAATCGAGTCGATTTCAGTCTCTTTTGGTATACTGTGACATCACTGGTCACTTATTGGGTTTTCAGATTTTTACTCAACTGTTTCCGTGAAATCGATAATTTTGCCATTTTAACAGTCAATGTCGCTTTTATGGTTCATCTTTGAAAATTTTTATTTCTTGTAAAGTGGTCACAGTAACCTATATTTTCATATATATAAAAAAAGATTTTTCGCTGAAGATACCCTTTAAACACCACACAATGTTGAATCTGTTTATGTTTTTTTCCTCTTTACATTTTTGCTAATAATTAAAAAGATAAAAGAAAAAACAAAACAAAGTTCAAGTGGTGTGAATGTTTTCTATGGATCAGAATTAATGAAATAAAAATAAAAACAGTCGCCATGCAGGGTGAGCTCAGTTGGTACAGCATAGGCTCCACGACCAGAAGGATGCAGAGGGCCGGGTGAGTTTGAATCCCGGCAGCAGCAATTTCTTTCACCTCTGTTTCAAGTGGGAAGGAAGTGGTAAACCCCAAAGAAACAAACAAAACAAGTTTGCTTTTACAGTCATATAAAGTCTTTATAAAATGGCCACCAAGATACATCACTGATATAATGGTTACTTTCTAAACTGGCATTAAATTCTTAAATTTTTGTTGTTTTTTTTATTTATATCATGTTAATGGAGTTTTTTTTCATCAAGAATATTAATACCTTATTGGAAGACTTTAAGATTTTATTTCAACTGTTTAACCATAACAGTAAACATTCATTTTATCACAGACCATTCACAAAGTAAAACTTTGTAAAAGAGCAGAAACATGTCCAGATAATTTCATTTCCCTTCAGTCAATAAATATCCGAAAATGGTCAGTCCGAAATCAAGCTTGTTTATAAATACACACATTAACATGCGACTTATTAGCACATGAGAGAGGATTATAAAACTTATGCTAGCAACATTTTGAGTGAAAAACAAGTACTGATGTTCATTGCAATATTGTACACGTGAGTCTGAATATTTACGCACTTTTGAGCAGACATAAATAAAAAATGCTTTCCTTTAGAAGGACACCACAGGATCTCCTCGTTAAGTTGATACTTAGGCCGTCTGCACAATCGGAGCCAAGATTCATCTGAGATTTGGGAAACGGTATGAACACAACACCTCCCTATAATCGCTCGGGGTAGCGAAATCGGTGTTGCAAGTTCCCCAGCAGCAAAGTATCACCATTGTCGGAGAATGTCGGAGTAGCGAAATGTAAACAAAGAGGCGAATACTACCCGTGATCTGATTGGCTAAACCGCGCTGTCAATCAAAAGCTGTCAATCGGCCAATTTGTTAGCTATTTAATGTTTTTTATGTATATGTAACTAGTATAATATACCCTAGAGTGATTTCATTGGCTGCACCCATAAGAAAACAATTGTGATGTCATAATATAGACAATGACATTATGTAACAAATAGGAAATAGTGCAACATAATGGCTGCCACTGTTTGATTTTTCCCCTACATAATATTTCACTTAAAACCCACTCAAATTTAATAAAAAGAGCCTAAATTTAATTTCTTTTCATACAAGGTTTTACAAAACTTGTCTTAAAGTTTTAATTTTCACCTGACAAGGCCCGGAAATATAAAAACTTCTAGAACGTGTTTGATAAAATCTCATACGAAATGAAAATCAATTAAAATCCTACATGTGTGACCCAAATAAAGAAATAAACAAAAAACTCACTGTGTAATTACTGGTTAATTACAACTGATGAAACGTAGTGTGACTCACCTTCTTTTGTATATGTACAACAGGATACATAGCCCCTAAAACGTCGTCCATAAAAGCATTCAGACGTTGACCGTTGTGTGTAAAGTAAACCCGCCCCCGAGGAGTCTGCCCATGGGCGGGGGCATCACCTGTCCTCTCCCAGCCAATTCCTGCGATGTCACCAGCATTAAGGAAAACATCTAGTCGAACACTCCTCCATTGAAGCAGACTGGCTCCATTGTAGTGTACAGCCTTTCCGTTACTGAGTAAAAAATAAAAAATAAGAGTATAGCCTTACAATTACTGGGAAAAGATTTTACAATGTTCAGTTTAACCCCAACTGGGGAAACTAGAACACTGACAGGTAAACAAGGGCCCTGCTATGTGGCTTGAAATCTTACTAAGAGTGACAGTAATCTGAACCATTGACCCTGGGACCTGAAAAGTTCAATGCAAGCTATTTTTGTCCGAGGTTTGAGTTTGATAGGCCAAAGCAAACCTGAGTTATCACAGAGAAACAGTTTTTTTTTCTATTTAGAGTAACATTGACCTTGACCTTTGACTTTCAAAACTGTAACACAATTCCAATTAAACACTTTCAGTAAGGAAGAACTGTTTGAAGTTTGGGTTAGAATGGCCAAAGCCAACTCTAGTTTTCACATGGAAACTGATTTTCTATTTATAGTATCAGTGTCCTTGACCTTTGAAGTTTGAGCTTGATCAGCCCAAGAAAAATCAAGTTATTGCACAGAAACAAAAGTGCTGATGGACAGACACTGTGATTACTATAGGGCACCTGCAAGGTCCTAATTAATTCATTAGTAGGAAATGGTCAGACTATTCCTGAGGTAAACTTCAAAGTTTATGGCTTATTAATAACAGAATGGAGAGGGATGAAACATCCCGTTATTATTTCATTAAAGCATTTCAAATTATTTTTTTAGCACAGCTAATGGATGTGTTTGTTTATCGAGAGATAGATTTAATGAGGGTGTTTACAAAACCTAACAAAATCTGATTCCTTACTTGAGACAGAGACATGTTCCAACAGGATTCGTCCAAGCACCATCCTTCTTTTCAGCGGAGGGAGCAAATCCAAATGATATAATAGCTCCTCCCTCCTCTTGGCTGTCCCCAAATGAACATACCTCTAGCTCCCAGTAAAAGGCTGGTGCCTAGAAACAGGCAACAATAGTAAAGCAACATAAAACATCCTTTCAATGCCTCATTAGGCCTATGTTACATATGTCTAAAACTCCTAATAAAATGGGACATTCGTATAACTTCCTTACCTGTAGTGGTATGGGCAAGTTAGCATACAACAGTGTGCCTCTAGGTAGACCACTGCCAGTGTTGGGGTCACCCAGAAAGGTGACACCTGTCATCCCTGAGGAAAAGACACAAGCCCTGACAGGGGGGTAGGTCCTTACTGCATCCCAGATCATTTCTTTGTTCTGTAACACCAAGTAAAAGAAAAAGTTGGGTTATGCAAATCAATGAGTATTGATTACTGCAAACTTTTACAGAAAATTTTAATTTGAGAATTTTCTCACATGGCTGACAAAACGGCGATATCTCCAAGCATCCATGTTAACAACGATTTCTCAGTATCGTGACTACTTACTGTTCTTGTGTCCACCTTACTTGGTGGAGGAGGAGGTTTGGCACAATCACGGTACAGCAGCCTCAGACGAGTACAGTGAGACTCTATCACTGGTAATCGATCACCTGGAACCAAATTAAAAGTACATATTTAAATGTTTATATTTTATATTTCTGTCAATGGACTGAACAGTGAGTTTGTTCAGATAGGGTCATTCTGAGATGGGGTGTCTGAATGTCATGTCACTAAACAATATGCAGGAGGTGTGTCATATTCCATCCAATTAAAGTAACACGTTCTGCCCAAGGGCACAACAGTGTCAGCAAAGTTTGCTCCGTCTCTCAGTTTCCTGAAACTGCTATGAACAGAGAGCATTAAACCTACTAGGAGTGAGCACTGTTTGGAAGGCCTCTATGTGTGAACAAAACTACTAGGAGTGAGCACTAGCTTAGAAGGCCTCTATGTGTGAGCAAAACTACTAGGAGTGAGCACTAGCTTAGAAGGCCTCTATGTGTGAACAAAACTACTAGGAGTGAGCACTTGTTTGGAAGGCCTCTATGTGTGAACAAATCACTAGGAGTGAGCACTAGCTTAGAAGGCCTCTATGTGTGAACAAACCTACTAGGAGTGAGCACTTGTTTGGAAGGCCTCTATGTGTGAACAAACCTACTAGGAGTGAGCACTTGTTTGGAAGACCTCTATGTGTGAACAAATCACTAGGAGTGAGCACTAGCTTAGAAGGCCTCTATGTGTGAACAAACCTACTAGGAGTGAGCACTTGTTTGGAAGGCCTCTATGTGTGAACAAAACTACTAGGAGTGAGCATTGTTTGGAAGGCCTCTATGTGTCACCAAACCTACTAGGAGTGAGCACTTGTTTGGAAGGCCTCTATGTGTGAACAAAACTACTAGGAGTGAGCACTAGCTTAGAAGGCCTCTATGTGTGAACAAACCTACTAGGAGTGAGCACTTGTTTGGAAGGCCTCTATGTGTGAACAAATCACTAGGAGTGAGCACTAGCTTAGAAGGCCTCTATGTGTGAACAAACCTACTAGGAGTGAGCACTTGTTTGGAAGGCCTCTATGTGTGAACAAAACTACTAGGAGTGAGCATTGTTTGGAAGGCCTCTATGTGTCACCAAACCTACTAGGAGTGAGCACTAGCTTAGAAGGCCTCTATGTGTGAACAAAACTACTAGGAATGAGCACTTGTTTGGAAGGCCTCTATGTGTGAACAAACCTGCTAGGAGTGAGCACTTGTTTGGAAGGCCTCTATGTGTGAACAAAACTACTAGGAGTGAGCACTAGCTTAGAAGGCCTCTATGTGTGAACAAACCTACTAGGAGTGAGCACTTGTTTGGAAGGCCTCTATGTGTGAACAAAACTACTAGGAGTGAGCACTAGCTTAGAAGGCCTCTATGTGTGAACAAACCTACTAGGAGTGAGCACTTGTTTGGAAGGCCTCTATGTGTGAACAAACCTACTAGGAGTGAGCACTTGTTAAGAAGGTCTCTATGTGTGAACAAACCTACTAGGAGTGAGCACTTGTTAAGAAGGCGTCTATGTGTGGAGATACCAACTCAAATGACCAACCTGTACTGCAGTCCTTGGCGAGAGACTTGAGAACATCTATGGTGGATCCACAGTGCTGTATAAATTCCTTGGTGAAATCAATGTCTTGTAGATAGGATGCCAGCACCATGCATGCACGTGTCTGTAGCTCGGCAACCACACGACATGTTTCGTTGTTCAGACTATTTCCGTCTCCATTGATAGGCAGTGACTGCTGCATCAGTGACTGGTTGTCATCCTGGGGCAACAAAATGGCTTTGATTGCCATCACAACTGCTTCAGTGACAGGAACTTGGTGAGAAGTGTAGATCTTGAAAATATCAAAAAAGGTTTCACTAAGATCTTCAAAATATGATTAAACATATTTGTTTTACAGATTACAATTAGAGTAGTCACAATTTTATTTCTCAACAATAATAATATTATCCTTCCATTTCTAATCATCTGTGAATTACTAACAAAACACATTCTCCTGAATCCTTCATTTCTAAATATTTTTCATCATTACCTCATTTGTAACCTTGTCTCTGATTGACTAAAAAAGTCTCAGCAGTAAATTCCCTTACCTCGTTTCTGATTGGTTGTAGTCGAGTGACAGGGACTTGTATTGTGTCACTAAAGCGAGGTGTGTACATCAGATTTGGGTCGGTATCAAGCTGGAGAGTAGCCATACCAGTTTGTTCCGACACACTCAATACAGTACCTGTGGTATTGTGGATACCTGCCCCCACCACCTGCAGAAATTATAGAAGTTTCAATGTAATCAACAACAACGAAAATGCACCAAAAATATTTACTATTTTGAGGTAACATGATCAGCTTTGTGTTTGGACTACAATATCTTGATAGATTTGTATCATAGGTCATAAAAATTTCTATGTCTCTAAAGACACAACTTATTAACAGTAATGATTGTACCTTGACATTACAAAATGGCTACTAACAGAAATGATCTGATAGTGACCTTGACATTACTAATAAGTTAAAGACAGAAGTGACCTGATAGTGACCTTGACATTACTAATAAGTTATAGACAGTGTGACCTGATAGTGACCTGCACATTACTGATAAGTTAAAGATAGAAGTGACCTGATAGCGACCTTGACATTACTAATAAGTTATAGACAGAAGTGACCTGATAGTGACCTTGACATTACTAATAAGTTAAAGACAGTGTGACCTGATAGTGACCTGCACATTACTGATAAGTTAAAGATAGAAGTGACCTGATAGCGACCTTGACATTACTAATAAGTTATAGACAGAAGTGACCTGATAGTGACCTTGACATTACTAATAAGTTAAAGACAGTGTGACCTGATAGTGACCTGCACATTACTGATAAGTTAAAGACAGAAGTGACCTGATAGTGACCTGCACATTACTGATAAGTTAAAGATAGAAGTGACCTGATAGCGACCTTGACATTACTAATAAGTTATAGACAGAAGTGACCTGATAGTGACCTTGACATTACTAATAAGTTAAAGACAGTGTGACCTGATAGTGACCTGCACATTACTGATAAGTTAAAGATAGAAGTGACCTGATAGCGACCTTGACATTACTAATAAGTTATAGACAACGTGACCTGATAGTGACCTGCACATTACTGATAAGTTAAAGATAGAAGTGACCTGATAGTGACCTTGACATTACTAATAAGTTATAGACAGAAGTGACCTGATAGTGACCTTGACATTACTAATAATTTATAGGCAGAAGTGACCTGATAGTGACCTTGACATTACTAATAAGTTATAGACAGAAGTGACCTGATAGTGACCTTGACATTACTGATCAGTTAAAGATAGAAGTGACCTGACCCTTGCATTACATCCTGGCTTTATTATCTCCTTGAATCCACCAAGAGCACACAGCGCGGCATTGGCTAGCTTAGCCATCGACATGAGCTGTTTACAGCTGGTGCGAGGAGAACCCAAGGCATCCAGACCAGAGTACAGCAAAGGAAGGCATGTTAACGAGTTGTTCAACACCTGGAGACAAACACTCAACAGTTAAAAATGTTATCTAAGTTATATCTAAGTAGATAATCTGACTACTATTAACAGAATAATCAGAAAACATATGATCCAATACTCTTTTAAGTGATTGCGAAAACCAACAATAATCATTTCTGACTAAGTACAGTCTACATGGTTTGCCTGGAATGTAATGAAAGATTTTAATCTAGAGATTTATGCCTAATTCAAGACATGTATCAAGATTTCACCTGGAATAGCAATATATAGCACCAAAATTATATCCATTTTAGTTTTTACTTTGAATTCTGTCACAGTAAACCCTTCAATGTTTAACACATAATTTGTCTACTGAGAGACCACAGGAACACTTACCCTTTGTACAGCCTCTGCCCAGGACTGGGCAGTGTTTGTCTCTGGGGCAGTCAGCAGACCATGCAGGAGAGCAATCACCTCAGCAGCCATGCTGTTAGCTACATGTCCACTGATAAACGGTCTCACTGGGTCAGTCCTGTCAAATAATTAATGGGACACAGAATTTATACATAATAGTGAATATATACATAAAACTTTTAACATTATCAAAACATCTAGTTAAGAATCATAAATCCTACTCTTTACCTTGCCAGTTCAGAATTCCTCTCCCTACACACCACCTCAAAGGCTGTCTTCTTCTTGTCCCCTGCAGGTGGCTCTGGCTGCTGGGTGTCTATGGGTGGCCCTGTTGACACCACCAGCCCCATCTGGGCCCATTTGGCTGCCTTCTTTAAGGCGCTACCTGCATCTTCTGTCGTCACCTCTGCTTTACCATACTAGAAGGTAATACATCAAACATTAAAACATTTAACAGGTCTTGCATTGTTTTCTTCCAAAAAAGTTTGAGGTCTAGTACAGCTTACCCGTTTCACCAATATATTTCAAATCATGGCTAGTACATGATAAGATAAAATAAAATGGAGCTCTTACTTTCAAAACAGCAAAAATTTAACATTTTTTTTTCATTAAAAGATTTTTTTTTTAAGATGTTACCATTGTCACCCAGTTTCATTACAAGTGTTGACTAAAATGTGACATGTACACATTTATTAACTTGCACGATTATATATGATTGGGATCATTGTAAATTGATATGTAACAGCCAAGAATGAAAACACTGAGGCCCTACCTTTGTCATCTCTCTGTCCATACGCACCACCCTCTCCATGTTGGCAGTACCACCAAGTCTGAACGGGCGATTGTCTGAGCTGAAAAAAAAGTAAAATTTATCATCAAGTTTGAGATTGATGGTCAATTAGAATTTTTCTTTTTTACTAAAAGAAAGTATGGTCTACTCAACAAAGCTAGATTTTACTCAGACATAATCACTGATGTTTCATCCTCCTGGAAAGAGACTTCATGGCCTTGGTCTTCTGCAATTTAGAGTGTAAAGCCTTGACCTACCAGAGAAGTGAACATATAATTTTATATAGAAGTTAGGATGTATGACTTTGACCTACTTGAAGAAAGACTTATGACCTTGACCTACCTAAGGAGTGGCTGTATGACCTCGTGAGACAGTTGGTCCTCCCGTTTGTGTATGAATACTGACAGTCTGCCAGCCTGTATATCACTATCCTCCACTTTGTCCTTGTCCAAACCCCCATTAGATGCCCCACGGTGAAGGTTGTCAGTTGATGGGCGTCGACTACAGATTGTTGCATGGTCTCCTAAATACCACAACACAGAAATGATGCCAGGAAATCATTAACAGAATAAAATAAATATGTATGATATGTCACCAATGAGAAAGTGAGAAAGAAAAGAAGAATCATATTGTCTCATATTTATTTTAACTATTTCACTTATCCGCAAACAAAGCTGTCATTAAATTTGATTCTGTATTCAGCAGTAAAATGTCCACCTATTTTACAAGAGTAAATATTACATGAGAAATCATCTTTGTAACAAGAATTCAGTTTCAAATACATTACAGAAATTTCAATACCAATGATTTCATCATCCATTAATCTATAGTTCTGTCATACCTGGAACAAGGAAGTCTCCGAGTTTTGCCAGCAAGAGGCTGACAATTTTAGCTGGGGGATCCGAGATAGACTTGGCTGAGCTCCAGTGACTGGAGTAAAGGTGCTGACCCCAGGCTGGCAATTCTACTGTTTCACAGTCTAGTGTACTCATCAGAGGAAGAGCCACTCGACACAGTTGTAATATAATCAGCACCAGCTTTGGCGATGGCCTGCAACAGTCAAACATACATCAACACAAGCCTATGCCATAAAATAGGTAATGAAGGTAGAAACACACCCGAAAAAGCAATTGGACAAAAAAAGTAGGAATTTCCAAGTACTGGATAAGCCGTGATGAAGAGATATGCGATATGAAATTTTTTCATGAGCAAGAAAATGTCTGTAACACATGAATGCCCTTGTGTATTATTATTGTTTGTAATGACCACCTTAATATTATAAGAAAAGAACTTGACATTATGACCCTATACATAAGTATGAACCAAATCTGTTGGGATGTTCTCAAGATATAACAATGATTTGGAACAGGAAGTGACAGGAAGCAATGGAATGGGATGAACAGACGTGGGTTATGGGAAACAGGCATGGTAATCTCATGGAGATTCTCTGTTTAACTTGAAAACATTTCACAACATATAGACTTATAATGTCACTATCAATCCTACCTTTGGTCAAGCAACAGTGAGAGCAGTTTGGAGACACACGCTGGCTGGCTAAGGATAGCTCTTCCCATGCGACTACGAGACAGATTGTTGAGGAGACTGAGTACGTCCTGTAAGGCTTCTGTGCCAGCAGCCTCATTACCTATACACTCCGTAGCACGAGCTAGATGATTGGTCAGTAACACAGACACCTGGCGAGCTAGACCAGAGTGTTCCAACTGTTCTAGGTGTAGGCCTAGTGACAAACACACAATAGGTATAGAAATATGATTGCTTTCAACTGTTCAATAAGTTGAGTGTGCTCACTACCAGGCTACAACAATAATGCACACACTCCAAATTTTTACTATTGATTAGTAAATGTGATAAAACTATAAAATTTTATCTTGAGTAAGTCTTCTTTTTATATAAATTTGACAACCACATTGCCCACACCAAGGTAATCCACAGACAGGAACATATACTGACACTTCCAGAATACTATTGGGCACTTGCAAAAGTGGGACCAAAATATTGTACCACATTCTTCTCCGAGATCCCCATTTATCCCAGTCATCTCCCCAATCTCTACATACTTTCCATCCTCTATCTCACATCATCTCTACACACTTACCATCCTCTACCACCCCATCTCTACACACTTTCCATCCTCTACCTCCCCATCTCTACACACTTACCATCCTCTACCTCCCCATCTCTACACACTTACCATCCTCTACCTCCCCATCTCTACACACTTACCATCCTCTACCTCCCCATCTCTACACACTTACCATCCTCTACCTCCCCATCTCTACACACTTACCATCCTCTACCACCCCATCTCTACACACTTACCATCCTCCACCACCCCATCTCTACACACTTACCATCCTCTACCTCCCCATCCCTACACACTTACCATCCTCTACCTTCCCATCCCTACACACTTACCATCCTCTACCTCCCCATCTCTACACACTTACCATCCTCTACCTCCCCATCTCTACACACTTACCATCCTCTACCTCCCCATCTCTACACACTTTCCATCCTCTATCTCCCCATCTCTACACACTTACCATCCTCTACCTCCCCATCCCTACACACTTACCATCCTCTACCTCCCCATCCCTACACACTTACCATCCTCTGTTTCCCACATAACACAGCGGTTTGCAAGGACCTGAAATCCTGCCCAAGCCATGGCAGAGACTTTCTGATTGGTTGATTGGGTCTCTGTGTTAGAGCTGTCTGTCCTGTGATTGGCTAGACTACATAACTTGTCTAACAAATGGACCAGTCCAGATCGCACCAGGCATTTCTCTTCCGCCCTAGACACAACATAAATTACGTTTATATAGTTATATAAAACTTCTAAATCCACATTTATCTTCATACATATGTACAGACAGGTTCTGAACACATAAGTCTGCAAATGTAATTCACAATTATGCATGGATATATTTCCAATCTTCATCATTTGGCTCCTTATATATCAATTTCTACAAGGTATATAACATGTTAGACCAGAGCTTTAAACTTGATATTTTATGAGTTACTGACCTGATATTTAAAAATATGTTTGACTTCTAGCTTTAAAGTTTTAATTACTTTGAAACATTTCTCAGACAATGAGACAGTCGCTGATGTGTATTTGAGAATGAGTTTAACTTTGATGTTCTAGTTAATCATTTGTTTTAATATATACTATGGAGAGTGAGAGATTCTGACCTTGTGTAGGGTATGATACAGAGCAGACCGATACTATTACAGCAGGCGATGGGATACCGAGCAGCCAATTGTACCACAGATGTCATGGTTTCTGCAAAAGCTTCTCTCACCTGATTCACCATCCCACCACAGGTCAGTTCTTCAACACTGTCAACACAAACAGTCTACTGTATTCCAGGACAAAAAGCCATTAAAAATCAACTACTTGTCACAAATATAAACGTCAATAAGTCGACCACACTGCAAATCTATACACAGTAGATAAGTTTTTACTTAATAAAAAAATTGAGTAAATAAATTATCTGCTTAAGAATTTCAGTTAATTAAGGGCTTCTCCCCCAGACCCTGAAATGATCATAGAATAAAGTATCACATATTCCAGCAGGTTTAGTGAGTTAACCTACCATGGACCATGTTGTAAGACAGCTGTGACTGCTGCCACCAGGTGAGTGGCACCTCCAACACGAGATGCCGCCATCAGTAACTCCTTCATATGTACAAGTGCCTGTTTACGTGTGTTGCCACGACGCCAGCGTGTCTGAGCCGCAGACAAGAAGTCCTTACTGGAAATCTAGAATGATCAAAACCATGATGAAGCATCAATCTCAACAGTTTGACATGATAAACATACCAGCAATAAATACAAGTTGACAAGACAGAATTTTAACAAGACAATATTGTCTAATGTGTACTTTCAATTATACAATTATAATGAATGGTTATGACCTCAATTCTATTCTTCCTCAACTGGAGATAATTTGTTTTCAGAGGTTGACACTTCAAAATAAAGAAAATTTGAAGGTGTGCTTTTTAAAGCCGCATCTTTGCATCAATTTGAACCATCAGACTAGAAAGCTATATTTATGCTAAAATCCTTACAGCTTTTTCAGGGTCACTTCCTATAAAGGAAAAGAGTTGATCCACTAACACCACATGCGGGGGTATGTCCTTGTTGTCATCCTCCACCAGTTCTTGGAGTACAGATGCTGGGCCTTTCCTCTGGCCATGACGCTTCCTGCTGAAGGAAAAGGCAAATCAACATGGTCAATGTGCTTTTACTTTCTATCTAACTGGCCTTAATTTTACAGAAGTGTAAATAGTTTTACAGTTAAATGTTAATTGAAAACTGGAGAATGTTACAGGTCTACTCAAGTATCAAGGTTATTTGTCATCAGGTAACTTGACCTTAATTTAACTCAGTTTGTATATCTTGTTTATCCTGCAATGCCTAGCAATATATAGAAAACAAATTACAAATCTGTATTTAGAATCAAGTAAGAAAAGTAAAGTTGTACTTCCAATTAGGTCCTGATTTAATGGAACCTACCTGCGAATCTTCAGAATATCTAGAACAGACTCATCATAAATACTCTCCACACCCGTTGGAGCTGACAGACTCCGTGATAAAACATGGACAGACTGTGCCATGTCAGTATCAGACCTCACTGAAGCACCTGGAACCACAACAATTAACTTTGTATCTTTATATATTATTATTATATTACACATTTTTTACAGTTTTACCTCTACTTTGTTCTTAAAATCAAATTCTAGAGGAATTTGACATGCAACTTTTAAAGATTAAAGCAGTACAGCTTTTGAAGATTCCTGGTTTTACTAACAGTTTGTAGAAATAAGGATGTTTTTTTCACATAGGCCACATAACTGATAGACGGTTATCTTTTCTACTATTCACAATTTTATTCCTTTCTTGATAATAGTAAAACTTAGAAAATCTCAAGAACAAGCACCTTTAATCTTCAGAAGCTACAACTACTTCTACCAACATATACTTCAGAAGAGATTATAAGACTTTGGCAGGGATTATAAGACTCCAACAGTAGTGCCTACCTGTCTGTGGAATTTCTGAGTAGTGGGAGACCGTCCTGGTCATCATCTCACTGTAATGTGGGGTAATGGTCACCTGTAGTAGCAGGTCAAGTCTGGACATGATTCCTCTTACAATATGTTTAGTTCGTACCATACACATCTCCTTGGCGACAACCTCATTTGATCTGACATCCTCATCAAACTTTGATCTACAGGTACATATTAATAAACATTAAATTTATGATTTTTAATTATATCAAAGTGTCAGAGGATGACTTTTTTTTTCGGGATGAATGCTAGCAATGTTACACAATAAGAACACTGAATTTCTTACATGACTGCAAGCTGGCATTCAGGACTAAGGCTAACCAAGCTGGCATTCAGGACTAAGGCCAACCAAGCTGGCATTAAGGACTAAGGCTAACCAAGCTGGCATTAAGGACTAAGGCTAACCAAGCTGGCATTAAGGACTAAGGCTAACCAAGCTGGCATTCAGGACTAAGGCTAACCAAGCTGGCATTAAGGACTAAGGCTAACCAAGCTGGCATTGAGGACTAAGGCTAACCAAGCTGGCATTGAGGACTAAGGCTAACCAAGCTGGCATTGAGGACTAAGGCTAACCAAGCTGGCATTGAGGACTAAGGCTGACCAAGCTGGTATTAAGGACTAAGGCTAACTGTAACATTTTCATGGCCTCCCTTACCACAGCGTTGTCTTTCTAAGGCTAACTGTAACATTTTAATGGCCTCCCCTACCACAGAATGGTCTAACTAAGGCTAACTGTAACATTTAATGGCGTGCCTTACCACAGAATGGTCTAACTAAGGCTAACTGTAACATTTAATGGCCTCCCTTACCACAGAATGGTCTAACTAAGGCTAACTGTAACATTTAATGGCCTCCCTTACCACAGAATGGTCTAACTAAGGCTAACTGTAACATTTAATGGCCTCCCTTACCACAGCATAGTCTAACTAAGGCTAACTGTAACATTTAATGGCCTCCCTTACCACAGCATAGTCTAACTAAGGCTAACTGTAACATTTAATGGCCTCCCTTACCACAGAATGGTCTAACTAAGGCTAACTGTAACATTTAATGGCCTGCCTTACCACAGCATAGTCTAACTTCGCATTACTATAACATTTTCATTGCCTTCTCTACCATAGCTCACCTTAACATCTTCATGGCCTCCTCCACCTCAGCAGGGTCTAACTGGACATCCTTTACAAAGCACAGCATATTGAGCTCCTTCATGTTACCCTGTATTGATGAAAACTTAACATAAATATCCAACCACAGACATTTCACTTTCATTAAAAATTAATATAATATTCTACAAATACATACATATTATTGTAATGTAAAATAGGCTACTGATAAACTAAATCATTCTGCTGAACATACTTAAATTCAGTTTTGATAGCCAATGAGCAGAGGACGCATTGATAAGGAAACATTACGTACAGATAGATATTGCTACGAATGCAGAAGTTATGACCTTTTAAGAAAGTGTTAAATTTACAGTTTCTAAGCTTCCTTGTTGTTAAAGTTTTCTTTTTCGTTTGTTATTTTAGTTCAATGGTTTCTTATTTCTAAAGTTGTTAATCTATTGAGTTTCCATGGCTACTTGAAATTATTATGGTTACTTATCGTGCCACTGACCTCCTGTAGATGATAATCATGGAAAAATGGAGGAGTCTGTTGACTGTCAGCTTTATGTTCCTGTACCTCATTGTACCATCTCTGTTCTAGATCGGCCAGGCCCTAATATACATAAAGTCAAGATCATTGTAATATACAAGGTCATACAATATGGAACGGAGGAGTCTGTTTACCATCTCTGTTCTAGGTCAGCCTGGCCCTAATATACATAAAGTCAAGATCATTGTAATATACAAGGTCGTACAATATGGAACGGAGGAGTCTGTTTACCATCTCTGTTCTAGGTCAGCCTGGCCCTAATATACATAAAGTCAAGATCATTGTAACATACAAGGTCATACAATATGGAGTGGAGGAGTCTGTTTACCATCTCTGATCTAGGTCAGCCAGGCCCTATTATACATAAAGTCAAGGTCATTGTTATATACAAGGTCATACAATAAAGAGTGGAGGAGTCTCTTTACCATCTCTGTTCTAGGTCAGACAGGGTGATGTAATAATCGCCAGACATGATTTGAATGTTGTTATTTTAAATGTCATACAATGAATAATGAAGGAGTCTGTTTATTTTATCCGTTCTAGGTCAGCCAAACTCTGATGTAATAATTACCAGAAATACAGTCAAGGCCATTGTCATAGTGGAACTTCATCAAACCGATCATACATGGGACATGAAAATTTGGCCAGTTGACCAGTCTAGAATCTGATATAATTAAACTGATTCCACTCCATACATTACATTAACCCTTCAGCATTTACACTGTCAAACTCAATACAGAGAAAAAAGGATTTTCTAGAGGAAAAATATTTGTGAAAAAAATTAATGTACAAGTGAAAATATAGTGATAATTGAATTCTATGCATCACTTTAGTTTAAAAGAAAAGTGTGCTTTGTCCAACGATCTCGGAGGTAACGTTATGTTGCATACAGCTGAACGTGGTGACAAGAAATACAGTCATGGTCATTACTTTACCCATAAACAATAAGTAATAACATATCAAAGCACAAGATCTTCATATTACTGCAATATGGAAGTTTACATATAATTGACCCGTATGAATTTGTTTACCATTATGGTCTCCCCAATTTCTCACAAATTCACTCATCTATCACAGTTCATAATACTTTTATTATACAAAGTTAGAAGAAAATGAAATCAATTTGTATGTTTTACCTGCAACTGTCTCATCAGGGTGTTGAATCGGCGGTACACTTCCTCCACCACAACACACAGCAGTGAGAACTCGTCCGAGTGTTCCCGTTCCTCGGACATGATATGGTGTACTGTATCTTCTAAAGACAGATGTTTTATCACAGTCGACACTATTCTCTCCTCCAAATCTTCTGGCTGTAGAATCTCCCTGGGGATCAAATTCAAATTCTCAACAATTACATCTCTTGTAAAAAAAATTTTAACAACCGAGAATCAGAATGTAAAGATAAATTATGACCATCTTACATTTACTAATGATATCTGAAATATTTTTGTTTAACAACATTAATTCTTACTGGTTATGCTTTCCAACACTGTGCAGTACTTACTTAAGACAATATCATTTGAAATATAAAGAAGAAAAGAATTATTTAAATTTATCACTATTATTTTTTTTAAGTTACAAAATATTTCTTGTTAAAATGGAATAGGATAATCTACATAATATGTTTATAGCACACAGAAGGGTTGAATTTAGGTAGCCGGATATGTTTTATCTTTCTGTATAGAAAACAAAGGTGTTAGGTAGACAAAACTACCTGATGCTCTGTCTGAGTGGCACCCTTTGACGCTTGGAGAGTTTACGAAGGCCTTGAAGGACCTCTGAAGGGAGTCTGACCCTGGGGAGAGGGGATTGTGTGTCAACCTGCTGAGGGGAACTGGAGGGGGACAACGTCAGTACTGATGGGGACTGCCACACACACCTGTAAAATAACTCTATAGATAGGTAAATATTATACAAATCACAGGCGTGTCCGACTCCTGTGGTGAGTTGGAGGGAAACCGCATCAGTATTGAAAGGGACAGCCACACACACTGCAGAAAAGCTCTATCTCTGTACAGATAGGTGGGCAAACAAGTTGGGGACAGGATTACCACTGATCGTGACTGCCAAACACCTGCAAAACAGCTCTCTCTATATATATAAACAATATACAAATCAAGGGTGTGTCAAGTCTCCTCCTGAAGGGAGCTAGAGAGTTCCCTACTGCTGTAAGTCTTCATATTTGTTGATAGGAATGATCTATTAAAACAAAAATAACTCTTTTTTTTTTTATCATAAATCCTTTAAAAATCTTATTGATCTATTTTTAAATCATTCATTTCAAAATGAAAAATGAGAGATTTGAACAAAGTTTAATCATTTTCAATTTTTTTTATCACTCGTTTTCACCCTTTCTGTTTATCTTTTTAATCAAATATTTTGTTCCATTTCTGATCGAAACAAATCTGAGTCAATGATGGATAAGAAATAGTGGGAAACTGAATCTGACCTCTGTAGGAACTTTGACTTGAGTAGGTGAGCACAGCTACCCTCCTCTCGGGATGTTTCTGGTCCATGGTACAGCAGCTGAAGCATTGTACAGGCCAGAACAGACAGACCAAGGGCCAAGTCTGCCAGGAAAGGGAGACCACTGGACACCTCTTCTGTCGACTCCTGAGCCCGAACCGTAACATGGAATCCCCACATTGCCTTATCTGGAGTGTTATGCTCACGGCCACTCCGCATCTCAAAGGAGAATGTCACACTGTCACCATCAACCTGCAACAATATTGCAACATTATTGAAATTTCGATGAGCTACCAATGGTAATAACACAAGAATTAAAAGCAAATGCTAAACTATAGTTGTGAAGGTGTACTTTTTGGGTTTTTTTTGGCCAGGATACCCAGAAGGATGTTAGAGACATATCAAATTCATCTTGACATAGAATTTGATAGTGCATGTTTAAGTATATTATTTCTATTACAACCTGTTCCATGATATATGTAGTCCCTGAATCACAAAGCCCGTGTATTTTAGAGAAATCTAAGCTCCAAGGGAAGATTTTTACTATCATCGCCTTGGCAAAGCCTTGGGCTAGGAAGCTGAAAACCTCTTCTCATTGATTTCTTGGTTCTGCTCTCATGCCAAGGGAAAATTCATTCATTTACATGCAATACATAATCTGTATCCCACAAGAGTTTCACCTTGACAAGGTCTTTGGGCCAGCCTGAACCAAGCACACTCCTGCTGCCAAAACCAAACGTGTTCCCTCCATACTCTGCCACCTTTTTAGCACTGGTTGTTGATCCAGCATACAGCACCAGCTTCAACACAGAAAATTAACCATGTAGAAAGGGATTTTAAAAAAGTTGAATATTGTTTCAAAATGTCAATGGTCGCACAAGACAATCTTTATAATACAAGAAAATGTTCAAAACGTAAAACCAAAACCCAGCTTAAAATTTTACAGAAGTTATAACTTTTTTTCCTGCTAAGAAAATAGCGGAGAAACTATTTTATATTCTTTGGCTTTTCTTTGATATAAATAAATATATTAAAAATAATAAAATATTTTTTTTGTCTTTTTCTATCCAGAGGAATTTACCTTGTCATAATCATACTGTGACGAGCACCTTGGGTCAAACCTCAAGTATAGACAGCGAGCCCCTGGGATATGTACAGTCTCTTTAAACTTGTAGTTATCTCGTACAGGGTGGATGCTCTCCAGAGCTTTGCCTGATGCCCAAGGGGCAGGGATCTTGAGGCCAGCCAGGAAACCTTGCTCCTCCTTGTCTTTCAATTCACTCCTATTTACAAAACATTTACTAAACATTTACAAAACATTTGCTTATGCCATTTTCAAACAGTTTGTATGACAAATGAGTACATATATTCCCAGTGTCATTTGTTTGGAGTTTGGAATTTAAGGAGACTGATTTATGTTTCAAAGTGAAAACAAGAAATGAAACATTTTACAGGTTTAATTGAATATCTATACATCTGTGACTGCCACAATTACAATTTGAACCAATCAGAATGACTTACATAGAGATATTGATCGGTTGACCAATCAGGTCGATGACTTACATATCAAAAATGAAGTTTGACCGATCAGAATGACTTACATAGAGATATTGATCGGTTGACCAATCAGGTCGATGACTTACATATCAATAATGAAGTTTGACCGATCAGAATGACTTACAAAGAGATATTGATCGGTTGACCAATCAGGTCGATGACTTACATATCAATAATGAAGTTTGACCGATCAGAATGACTTACATAGAGATATTGATCCGTTGACCAATCAGGTCGATGACTTACATATCAAAAATGAAGTTTGACCGATCAGAATGACTTACATAGAGATATTGATCGGTTGACCAATCAGGTCATGACTTACATATCAAAAATGAAGTTTGACTTACAAAAGAGATATTGATCGGTTGACCAATAATGACTTACATATCAATAATGAAGTTTGACCGATCAGAATGAGTTACATAGAGATATTGATCGGTTGACCAATCAGGTCGATGACTTACAAATCAATAATGAAGTTTGACCGATCAGAATGACTTACATAGAGGTATTGATCGGTTGACCAATCAGGTCGATGACCTCAAGATCTGACTCTGTATCCATCTCTTCCTGTATAACAGCCTGGACTTGACTTTTCAGCAGTAAGGCAGCCTGACACACATAAAAACAACTTGTCTACACATAAAACAAACACAATGATTACAATATTATGACATGTATTACTTTTTACTTTATAAGACTGAAATACTAAATCAGAGATACACAATAAGCATTAATGGAAAAATCAAATGAGACTTTCACCTTTATAGTCTACGAAGATTATTAATATTACCTGACTTGTCAGTACAACAAGGTGGACAAGTTTTGGCATGAGTGTATCGGCCAAAGATAGCCAACGTAAATTAGAGTGTGTCATTGTAGTTAAAAGGGCAGGCAGCAAGTGACCAAGAATGGTTGCCTTTGAAATTCGCTCAAGTCCCTGGAGCCGACATTCCAGGTCATCTTTGTACTGTGTTATGATAGAGTTACAGGTCTCCAGCAGCACCTCCAACACCTGTGACAGATAACAAAATAAAGACATGAGCACACCCAGTAACTATCATCTTCATTTTCAGATTTAGGAAGAATTATTTACATAAATCCAAAATGTTTGACTTGTTGTTCAGCATTCAGAGCATGGCACTTACCTGACATGAACCATCAAAGATGCTAGATGCTAAAGTAATTATCATCAACTGCAACTCCTGAAAATGTAAATAAATATCAGACAATTAGAATGTCACATCTCATTCTCAACTTATACTTTACGTCTCCTATCAATTCTTTTTCCTAATATCAATATAATCAATACACGTTAAAAAGAGTATGTAGGTACTTACCCTGAGTTCTGTCTCATACTCTGCCTGACTCTCATCTCCATTGTCTGGAGATTTCAGAAGAACAACTTCTCGTAAAAGATGTGACTGCAGTGCCATCATAAAGCGCAGACATGATGAAGCATGCTGAAATGATCACAATTATCACATAAGAAGTATTTCCGTGGTGATTTTCCAGACTTTTACAATGTACATGCCATAATATTTTGATATTATTATTGATATTTTGAGCAAAATCTCAAGGGATACAAGGTATTGTTGCAATCTTGTTTTGTATTATTTCTGTCAGATTACACTACTTTACCTAGCCTCTAAAACAGGATACTTTAGAGAAACGGTAATCTAAGTAGCAATGCTGACTATAATCAAACTTGCTCAATCTTTAAAATGACAGATCACGCCCATATTTCTGTCAACTAATAAGACTACAAAGGAGAAGAAATAGAGTGTCATGGTGAAATTCTATTTTTGGCAATAGGCTTAAACCAGTAAGTGATATCCCAAAAATCACATATTCAGCAAAATTATATCTGTGAATTTTTATAAATACCGCTAGCAAAGTGATAACCAAGGGTAAAGGAGAAACAACTTTTTACAAAATGTGACTGACATTTACTCAACCATATCAATATCCAACTTGTTGAGTGCATATTTGTAACAACGATGAAAAAGAACATTTCTATCAGCCTGATGCTTACCGGAACAGAGGCCTGCAGGACCTCAAACTGGGCTTTGTCCAGGGTGAGTGACTCCCGTAACAACATACAGGACTCCTTGACCGCTGTCTTCAGTATGTAATTAACAAGGTCATCTTTTAACCGGACATACTTCATCTCATCCCGAGACAGAGCCTGGGCACGAAGCTTCTCTGACAAGTCAATCAGAATCATATTCCTCAGGTTTTTCAGCGATGGATTCTGGCCACCTGTGTGGTAACAAATATCATCTTTTAATTTTGCTTTTTATCAGTTTAATAAATTATTCAAAATATTTCCACTTTTGTGATTCATTCATGCATCATTAGGCCAAGGTCTAGTAATGTATCGATGATTAAAGTGTTAATATGCACATCCCCTGAAGTTAACTCAGAGGCAATATTAGCCATATCAAGGATGAATACAATATATTGAGCTTTACAGATCTATCATAATCCAATCTTTCCATAATATGATACAACTTAATTTTATTATATTTCATTATTGATAACCACAATTCTACTTAACTTCATGTATATTGATACAAGATAATATCACCACAATTATGATCACAATATAGCTTTGGAAAAGCCAAACATTTATAAATTTATATGTGAAGCGTAATAAATAAGAGAACTTAATCTTTTACAATTACCACAATTGTCTGGGAACAGTCTCATGCTTAGTTATAAACCAAGCTATTACAATTTCAGTAGCAGTACAATGTCATTGTCCCAAAATACACTCTAGTCCCTACCTTAAATCAGAGGTCCCCTGTGTCTATTGCACAATAAAATTGGTCATATATTAGCACATCTGAACAGCTTTAAATTACAATTATTAGAAATGCAGTGTACACTGACCATCAGAAAGAAGCTGGAAGAGAAGCTTGTTTTTATCCTCAGGTTTTGGGTAGAGGACATGTAGCCCAGACGTTAAGACCTCACATGCCTCGTTCTGGACTGCAGTCAGTTTTGGGTCGTCCTGAGATAACTGAGGGTAATCAGTTAACAAGTGCCATACTAGAGAGCTGTAACACACAAAAATATACGACACTTGTATTTCCTCTTCCTAATAAAATCATATATCCAAAAATGACATTAAATTTCCTTTCAAAATACCATTAATTTCACCCTTTTTATTTAAAAATATTTATAATATTTATAATATTATAAGTTAAAACATTTTCAATTATCGCTGAATAAGTATTTGAGATTATAATGAATTATATAGAAATTTGTCAATGGGACAAAAAAGAGATGTCATGCCCATGGTAGTAAAACCACATACCTGGCTTTCTGTAAGAGCTGCACCTCTCCTTCTCTCTCCCTCTTAAACATACTGATCTTGAATATTAACTACAAAGAAAGTAATGACTCCTTCAGAAAAATCAATCAAAATGTAAATGTAAGAAAACTGATCATCAATAGAATAGCTGTTTTTATGGTAACTACAATGCATTTTATAGTACAAGTATAGACAACAATGTCTTTTTATGGTATATGTATGGACTACAATGTCTTTTTATAGTACAAGTATAGACAACAATGTCTTTTTATGGTATAAGTATGGACTACAATGCATTTTATAGTACAAGTATAGACAACAATGTCTTTTTATGGTATAAGTATGGACTACAATGTGTTTTTATGGTATATGTATGGACTACAATGTCTTTTTATGGTATATGTATGGACTACAATGTCTTTTTATGGTATAAGTATGGACTACAATGCATTTTATAGTACAAGTATAGACAACAATGTCTTTTTATGGTATAAGTATGGACTACAATGTCTTTTTATGGTATAAGTATGGACTACAATGTCTTTTTATGGTATATGTATGGACTACAATGTCTTTTTATAGTACAAGTATAGACAACAATGTCTTTTTATGGTATAAGTATGGACTACAATGCATTTTATAGTACAAGTATAGACAACAATGTCTTTTTATGGTATAAGTATGGACTACAATGTCTTTTTATGGTATAAGTATAGACAACAATGTCTTTTTATGGTATAAGTATGGACTACAATGTCTTTTTATGGTATCAGTATGGACTACAATGCATTTTATAGTACAAGTATAGACAACAATGTCTTTTTATGGTATAAGTATGGACTACAATGTGTTTTTATGGTATATGTATGGACTACAATGTCTTTTTATGGTATATGTATGGACTACAATGTCTTTTTATGGTATATGTATGGACTACAATGTCTTTTTATGGTATATGTATGGACTACAATGTCTTTTTATGGTATAAGTATGGACTACAATGTGTTTTTATGGTATATGTATGAACAACAATGTCTTTTTATGGTATAAGTATGGACAACAGAATCTACTTGTCAGAAGGTAACTTGGCTATGTTTACCTGTAAGATGATGAGTGTACAGATGACAACCTGACTGTCTTGTCTCTCTATAGAGCGCTGCAGGATGTGACAGATCCGTGTCATGTGTGTTAAATCAGCAGGATGCTGCTGGAGAATGTAGGAGCCAAGCGGTGTGTGCAGCAAGTCGTTGTTGATCTGGTGTAAACACATACTTCCTACGTGGTGCAGAATGTGTTTAATCACCACCTCAGTCTCTATATTGTTTCCTGTGGAAGATAACACTCAAATATTCAATACTGGAAACTGGCACAAATCTAGTATCCTCTTTCTAAAATATCTCTACCACTATTTTTTCATGATTTCAGCACCTTCTTCCTAATGTTGTACATCTTTTTGTTTGATTGTGAAAACACCAAGTCACCTGCCATCAAACTGGGCTGAGGGTAGATATTTTTAGATGCTGGCTGGTGTGTTGAGGGACAGTTACATCACATTGACAGGGACTTGAGGAAGATATTTTTAAGTGCTGGTTGATGAGTTGAGAAACTGTGGACATCACATTGGAAAGGGCTGGAGGAAGATATAATTCAGGGATAGCAAACTGGAAGGAAACTCATTTATATATGTGATTTGACAGCAAGCAGAAAATAACTCACCATCTGACTGGAGTGGACCAGGCGGTGATATTTTGAGACGTCGGTTGATATGGTGAGGTGCCTGGTGGCCATGGTTATAGAACTGATCCACCCAATCATTGCTGGACATCCATATAGAGTTATTAGTTACGTCAAAACAAAGGCCTGGAAAAAACAGAGGACATTTCTTTTTGAAACAAGACTGTAAACGTTGACTTTTTTCCAGACTACAAAATACTGACTTATAGTTACAGTAATTCAAAGTCTTCCAGGATCTTTTCAGTGATCATTTCAGTATCAAAACAAACTATGAATAACTAAACCAGCTGTAAAGGTTTGATGATTCAAATTTTAAAGTTTCACTTAAAGCTTGCAGCTTACAGAAGTTGAGAAACAGACAATGCTATTCTCTATTAATCATATTTTCAAGATATCTTTTTTATTTACCATTTCAAACCTCTTATGGTAAACAGCATATACATCGTGGTAGTAATAACTGGCCAGCAATGTTTACTTAGTTAGTTTACCTATCACAGAGAATTCTCAAACATTTTTGAAGACATGAAAATTATGTAGTCACCTTTTTCACAAACATTGCCAATCGACTTAAAAAGGTAGATATTCTCAATTCTAATCATTATCATGTCTTATGATGAAGATGTCAGACATAACTTTCCATGATGACAATAATAACGTACCAAGTCCAGCCAGGGGAGCGCCCCTCCCCAGGGAACAAGTAGGAGCATCAGTCAGGTCTATCCTGGTGTTAAACTGGCCATCTTTCACATTGAAACACAGATTACTTGCCAACACTACAACAAAGAGACATAACTTATTAGTCAACAGCAACTACATTAAACAGCACAGAACTATAGAAGAAGTAACTCCCATCATACACCATAGCCCAATGTCTGCCAATTTTGTCCTGGAATTTAACCATGCTGAAATAGATACATCATTTAATTAGACATATTAAGTTATTTCCAGAACACGACAGAGATGTCAGCAGACTAGACATAGAAAATGTAACCCAATGTCTGCCAATTTTGTCCTGGAATTTAACCATGCTGAAATAGATATATCATTTAACTAGACATATTAAATTATTTCCAGAACATGCAAGAGATGTCAGCAGACCAGACATAGAAAATGTAAAAAGAAGCAACAGACAGATACAACTAATCATAATAGATTTTTTTGCACATGTCAATCCATGTAACAAGTCAAGTCTAAACCTATTACACAATTACAAGCACCTATTTAACAAAACAAAGCTAAATAGAATAAAAACATCTGATCCCTATAAAAAAAATTTAGTAAACTGATACAGACGAATTGAGTACAATACTGTGAACTAACTTTTCTTCCTCGTTAATTTCTTTCACGATTTACGCATTCACAACAGCACGTAACTTTTACGAAACAGACTATGTTATGCAATAGTAATATTATTATCATTCTTGTCCCAATTTGTGACAAATGATTTTTGTAAGTGTGTTTTAATAAAACTTGGCAAAAAATAAATTGCACATAGAAGAATGGAATATTTCCATAAAATACTTACATCTAAAACCTGAGAGATTGCCTCCTGTACCAAACAGTGAACGAGAAGCTGAGCTGTTACCACCAGTACCAGACATGGGTGTGAGTACCACCAAGGTACTGCCATCACAGTACACGGGGGCTTTCACCAGACTCTTCATGGACACACCACAAGAGGTGCTCCCCACCATCAGCGTTGCTGCACGACATATTATGTGGTATAAGTAGGAGAGAAATGAATATAACTTTTCCGATACAAATTTAGCTATGAATACAGAAAATGTGAAAAAATGAATAAAATTGTATCATCCTGCTGTTTGTTCCTAGTAGAGGTCATCAGTGATGCTAGGTGCCTAAAGTCTAGAATTGTAGAAGTCAAGCTGGGAAGTAAAATATCAACACCACAAAAAATATCAAAATACAGGTAGACAACTGTTCTGTTTGATGCTCAATACTGGATATAATTCTTTAAGAATGTCAAGTATTTGTATTCATTCTGAATTATGTCATTGTTCATAAAAAAGTAGCTTTCAGCATTAAAGCAAATTTGGGGACCTAAAGTTCACCATCAGACTCATGCAGACAGGACACATCTAAAATCAATTAAGGTTTCACTTTGAAATACTCTTGATTGAACCAATCACACTAATTAATATTCTATACTGTAATCTTTGAACACTCACAATCATCTTTTCTTCCTGGTGTAGAATCCCCTCCTGTTAGTGCTACAAGAGTAGCAGCTGAAGAGTTCCCTCTAAAGGGACGTAAACGGGAGAGCAGTGTTTCATTAATGGATTTGGCACTGGTTTCATCCTTCTTCTGCAGAATCACACGAGGTTGTAGTGGCTTGATACTCTCCCCTGATGGCTGACATTAAGTATAAACATGTGTTAACTTACAGGAACAATAGAAGAGTCAGATAAAGGACTGACAGAAATACAGGAATGTCAGATACAGGACTGACAGAAGTACAGAAATGTCAGATACAGGACTGACAGAAGTACAGAAATGTCAGATACAGGACTGACAGAAGTACAGAAATGTCAGATACAGGACTGACAGAAGTACAGAAATGTCAGATACAGGACTGACAGAAGTACAGAAATGTCAGATACAGGACTGACAGAAGTACAGAAATGTCAGATAAAGGACTGACAGCTATGCAGAAAAGTCAGGTAAGGGACATATTCAAGTGTACATAAGTTACTAGTAAACTAAAGAAACAAAGATGAATATTGTATTGTATATCTATTATTTCAGACAAGTTGGAGCTCAATCCCACTGATGAAACTTGAGAAGAAGTTTGAAATAGGTGTTTGGAAGGGAAACTATGATTGCGCAATCATGTTACAAAATGGCCTCCTCCCTGACTGCTGTGTCAAAGTTTTGACAAGGTTGAAAAATAGCATAACTTTGTTGACTACCTTCCATAACATCCCACCAATCTTGAGCTCAATGGCTCCAGTGGAACTGGAGAAGACATTTAAAATATGTTTTTCAAGATGGCGACCATGCTGGCCATCTTGGGCTTCAGAAAAACCCCAAAAATAACACTTGATCAGGACCATCTCAGGATCATTTCATGCAAGTTTGAGCTCAAACCCACAGGAGGAACTTTAGAAGAAGTTTAAAATGTCAATTGTTTACACATAGCGCACAGCAGGCAACAGACAAAGCATAACAACTATAGGTCATCATATCTTAAAAACATAACTTCAAAATAATTATTGTTTTTGTCAACATATCTTGAAATACAATGAGTATAAGGTGGAAATCATTTAAGTACAAACCTCAAGGGAGAAGACATCTAGATACACATTGAGTCCTTTCACGCTTTTGTCTGAGGCGAGGCCAGGACACCACAGCCAATAGAAGTAGGTAGCATCACTACAAAATGCTATAGTTGTCTGAGGTCCCTCGTGGAGGTACTCCTCGGGTTTGGGTACCGTCTTCACACACTAATGAACATATCATATGTTTAGTCATTTGTATAATTCTATCACAAACTAAACAGTCTGGAAGTAACATAAGCTAAACTTTAATAACACTTTATTATGGTGGCTGATTCAGGATATCGTAATATCGCTTCGTTTAATGGGAAGCGATATTGCGATATCACGATGCGATATCACGATATCACAATGTGATACCACGATAGCAAGAAGCGATAACATGATAGCGCAATACGAGACCATGATAGCGCATAGTGTTATCGTGATATCGCATTGCGCTATCGTGTTATCGCATTGCGCTATCGTGTTATCGCTTCTTGCTATCGTGGTATCATGATATCGCTTCCCATTAAACGAATCAGCCACCATACTTTATTGATGAAGCAGATATATCTAATGTATGACAAATTCTAACAGCACATGATAATGCTTCACCTGCAATATAAAGATTCCTAAGAAACCTGTAGTGTGTTTACGATCGCCAGTTAACTGTTAACTAATGCAACATGGCTAGTTTACTTGTGAGATGTTAACCAGTTATTCTAGTTTACCAGTAAGGTGTTAACCAGTATGGCTAGTTTACCTGTAATGTGTTAACCAGTTATGCTAGTTTACCTGTAAGGAGTTGATGTCAATGAGCTGACACATATTTGTGAGATTTGCTTCCTGGTCATAAGTCTGTGGTCTGTAGAGTAGTATACCATTACCAAAGGCAACTTTCCCTGGGCCTAAGTCAGCGTTTCTAGCATACACATAACCTCTACAAATCAAAGTAGTATTGCATAAATATTGATCAAAACAAATAGCAAATAATTGTTGTTTAAGTCATCTGTGGAAGAGCAAATTATTTCTGATAATTATTTTTAAGTTCTTCTACAGTTTGTTTTTACAGTGTTCATCATACACTCTACCACTTTTCTTACATTTGTAATCAGTGATTCTAACCAAAATATTTTTGAAGAGCAATAGCATTTTTTATTATTTCATTATTTTTTTTCAGTAAGTAGGACTCTAACCAAACAACATATATAGTAGCTACCTGAGGGAGCCATGAAGTCCAGTTCCCATCTTAGCTAAACCTTTTCCCTGTGAATTGGTTGTATAGAGAAATACTCCATCACAAGTGATGCTGCGCCCAACATCACTGTCTGTAACCAAAGAAGGGAAAAAATGATGTCACAACAGTACCGCTCGATATATAATCCACTACCAATCCCCACAAGAATGTTTTATTTGCACTTTTCACTAATAATGGTAGTCCAAAGGGTAAATATTGATATGTTTTTATATGTGTGAAAATAAAAAAATAATTATGGCTGAGTTTTTATCCCATGAAGCTGTAATAAATATTATTATTCACAGCAGTTTTAAAGATAATATAACATTGGGTAGGAAAAATGCATTCGGCAACTTTTGCTCTGGTTTAAACCCTGAACCCCAAACACTGAGTTTACTTTAACCTCTAGATTATCAAATGAAAGCTGTAGTAGTTGATTGACCTTTGCTATCTTTATTCCCATTGGTCGTCTCCTTATCAGCTCCTCCAAGTAAGTCCTCAAAGCCCCAACAAAGGACATGCTTAGTGCCTAGTATGGCTGTGGGCTGAGTCTGACCACCCTCTGTTTCCAGAAGTCGTGTGAGTATGTCAGCTACAGGCAAACTGTCCAAGTCTGAGAGTGACTGAAGAAGGTGTACTGTGTGTATGAACGTCTTTAGGTGACCTCTGCAGCATAAAAACACACATTTGTAACATAACAGGGAGAAAAAAATCCAACTGAGTGTCCCAACAGCTAGGAATAAACCCAGATCTCTAGCATGATGATTCACGGCTCTAAATTCATGGATCAACTGAGCTAAAGTAGCATTCTCCAATAGCAGTACATTGATAGTGACCATTACTGCAATAATACATGTATATATACAAGCCATACTGATCTACTGCTTATACACACTGATAAATCCAATGAGCAGTCAAAACTTTACAACAATCTGTGTAGTGTGTACATATCTTGTATTGCTCCACTATGGGTTCAGTTAATTCAACCCATGTTTTACCAATCAAATAAGTACCTAGTTATGAAATCAGAAATAAGAAATTACTTTGTCCCACCCATGGTCCCTTTTCACAACTTATCTATATTTTTCAACAATCTACTGATCTATACAATGTTGCTATCGAACAAATAAAAATATGTCCATAATTTTACAATTTTTATCACAACTTGAGTGACTGCTAATGTCATAAACAGGCTGATATACCTGTAAGGAATGATATCACCTATTCATGAAATATATGGTTGAAAACTCCATCCGACCAGAGCTAGGTCAGACTATATATGTACCATTAGTTCTGAGATTGTGGGGCAATGCACAAAGATTTCTTTTGAAACAATTTCACATGATGTATATAATTATCACTTTCTTCACTTTACTAAAATATCTTCAATCTATAATTGTTTTTCTGTTTTCAGTTGAATATGTGCAATGTAAATGCTGAAAGGAAACATAATGGTTAATGTGATGTACAGAACAGAATCTATTCAATTCTATCCGAGTCCACACCAGTCAAACTGGTTCACTTCCACAAACCGAACCCTCTTTAAAGCAACCAAATATTCATGTTCCATACATGGCCAGTTTGGAGAAATTCTACTGTACATGAATCAGCCTAAATGATTTACATGTAGGTACAGCATATGAAAGTGATATGAAATAATGTAAGGAGAAAGGCTTTATTGTGATTAGGCACAATATAAAGGAAACTGAACGCTTTGTACCAAACCACTTTTCATAAATACCTCTTACAGGTTTTGAACTTCCATGCATAGCTCTGACAGTTTTACATACCTTGCACAAGCAAGTGCAACAAGTGCTGCAGCTGTATTTTTACGCTGTGCAGCATCTTTAACCAATTGTTTATTGGCAACATCACTGGTATCTTCTCCAAGCCAAGTACAAAGAAGATTTTCAAGACCTCTCAAGCAATCACCCGGTTCCTTAAATAAAGTCAATGGAGCACAATCCCTGAGACAGTTCAAAAGAAGCTCTGCTGTGACGCCACAAAGGTTAGGATCCACTCTACTTTGAGATTGTAAAAGTGGAATCACCAAGAGCACACTGATTCGAGTAGAAAATGAAGCTTGTTCTGGATCTTTAAATATACCTTGCTTCTTCAAAAGTGCTATTGTTTCCTCGTGCGTGGAGTTATCTCGGTCCTGTTGTTCGTCGATCAACACTTGCCTTTGTGCATTCCAATAGCCCCTAAGTGCATTCAAGCGATATTCGAGCAACCTAGAGTAAGCATTATTTTGAGTACCACAAACAGCAAGCAATCGATCACTTAATTCTTTCGGTGTCTTCAAATCAAACGTAACGACTTCATTGTCACCTTCTGAGGAACTATTAACATCACGAGGAAGTTCTACTAAATCTGTGACCCTGATCAGTCCGTCGTGCAGAAACAGGGTTTCCTCCGTGACGGAAAGCCATTGACAATTGTCTTGGAATATACCCGACATTGCTAATTCAATGTCTTGGTACATTTATATGCCATTTTGACATTTCCTGGATTAGAAATGATCTCACTTTCGACTTTGAAATTATTCTGCTGTCATCTGCGACCATAATGAAAATAAACGACCTGATCGTTGAAAAGCTTGAAAAATCTTACACGTTGAAACGTAAATGCGACCCCCAAAAGCACGAATATTAAAAAGGGAAGAAGTATTTCAGTTAATAAACTATTATTTGAAATCAACAAAAAATCGAAAGAAACTTATTTTGCGAAAATAATAGCTGTAATACTTTAAATGCTACCGAAAATTCAAAGTCAAATATATGTGTTAAGAGAATAAATAAAAGCTAAGTTCCCAACCACACTATGTCCCAAGTGGTCTAGTGGTTAGGATTCCGCGCTCTCACCGCGGCGGCCGGGGTTCGATTCCCCGCTTGGGAAAATATTTTTCTTTTCACAACCAGGAATTTTTTCTTTTAATAACATGAATTATACAAATACATACGGTATGCAAGTAACTGAGCCGTATAACAAAATATTGAACATCAAATATTTTTTTTCATTGTGCTGTAATGCGTCAGCGTTTTACCTTTCACACCAACAAACGCAGTTGTGAAAACTATTTCATTTTTCCTTTTTAGGTGTATTCCAGTTCTGTATAATCAACATCATATGCTAAAAACAAATAAAACAATAGCAGTAGTGATAGATCAATGAAATAAATTTCATTTCAGTTACTTCCCTTCGACCAGAAATTGAACACGAATAGTTTGTCTGGAAACTGATAAATGATTGAAGTTCAGTCAATTTACAAAAAAAAAAAAAAAACGAAAAGAGAGAGGGGAAAACAAACAATCAAACAAACAAAATAAAGTAATCTAAACACCGTGTCTTACTTGGAGCAGAATTTATTTGTGGTATTTTGGAACGATGGACGTCTGCATTATAACAGAAAAAAGGCCTAAGAATATTTAGGACGTTCATACTCATGTTCTAATACCGGGTACTGGAAAAAAAGCCAACATATCTCACCATTGAAAAATATTGAACTATTAACATCGCTTAAAAGCACCTTTACTTGATGATATTGGTTTGTGCTGTTTTTAGATGTAGAATATATAAGTAATTAATCTTTGTTGCAATACGAATTTATAATTATATTTTAAAAGATATGACAGTTTATCAAAAAATCATACATTGTAGATTGTACATTCGCAAACAAAAATTATAATTCATCAAAGGATATGTGCAAATTTGGTGGCTCTCACGGATTAAGATGTGAACGTGAATTTAAGGTAAAGTAGGGGGTTAAACTCATAATTGGATCTATTTTGAAACAACTATATGACGTATATTTCTGTACACATAAGTTTTATCCATTGTGCAATTTTTAAAAAATACACCCATGGCCCAAAAGTAGGTCACGGTGACCGCGTTGTATCACTTCGTAATTAGGTCAAAGATATACTATATTTTGTGCCTAAATACACTAAACAACAATAAATTTATCATTCCATGTTTTTGATTAGAAATATGTTTTGCATAGTATTTTTTTTTTTTAAAGAAGTAGTAGGGAGTAGGGAGGGGGCACAATTTGACATTTTAAATCAACAACTGCTTTGGTTGAGTTCAGAACTATTTCAGGAACAGATAAATGGAATTAAGTTATGCATGTGGGATTATTGCATACTTGTGTATTACCAATGGAGACATGCATACTTAATTGGGTGTCATCCCCTAACACATACATGTGCCATCAGTAAATATTTTGATGCTAGCCCATATATCTGTGAGAAGAATATTTACATAACCTGTAATGCAGCTTGTGACGTGCCCCTTGCCTCATAATTTGGCAATTTGTTATTATTTACAAAAAATGCACCCCATTTCGTTTTTTAAAATCATAATAACATATGATAATATTTCCAATTAAAACATAGTATGATAACTAGATTGTTCTCATGTGTACTTACGTACAAACTTGGGTGCACGTTTGACATAATCAAGAAATTATGAAACGCGGTCACGACGACCTACTTTTAGTTATGGGTGTTTGTTTTCGATCAGTTTTGTTTTTCATGGCTGTGGATATTGTATAGAAGACACATAAGCGAATAGCACCTTTTAATACAAATTAGAATTGGGGTGGAATTTAATCGCACAATGCATAAAATTATTATAAAAGATTCGAAAAAATTATGTACTTTTGTCAAAATGGGGTCAATTATGAATCGGCGATAGCCACTAGAAATTCCCTTCTTGACACCATCCTTTGGTGAATGGTGCTAATCTAGTGTTATCTAATGAACTACGTGGTTCTGGATATGTAATTTGAATAAAAGACTTGTAATTTCATCTCAATATAAATTTTGGCCAGATGAGTTTACTGAGATGTCAAAGATCTGATGATGAACACCAATGTACAAGTCTAGATGGGTTTACTGAGATGTTCAAGGTCTGATGATGAACGCCAATGTACAAGTCTTGGTGAGTTTACTGAGATGTCCAGGATATGATGATGAACACCAATGTGCAAGTCTAGGTGGGTTTACTGAGATGTACTGAATATCGTCATAAGGAGACATGGTGATTTCCTTTTGAAACAAAAAGTAACATAGTACTTGCTGTACAGTCATTTATAAAATCAAGTAAGAGGTTTGATACTAAATAGTGGACAGTTACTACAACAATAACCCCACCCACCCATCTTCCTGTCCCCTTCTGTCACCTCCCTCCCCACTCTTTCTTTCTCTTCTTACTTTTCATGTTATTTAGTAGTTTATATATATGTTGAACCCCCCACCCCCCAATCACGTGATATCTTTAGTTATAGTGAGTTGTTAGAACATGTGTCCTATCCCTTTGATTTTGTCAGGAGAGGGCCTAGTAAGTTGTTAGAACGTGTGTTCAATCCCTTTAGTCGTGTCAAGAGAGGATGCCTAGTAAGCTGTTAAAACGTGTGCCCAATCCCTTTGATTGTGTCAGGAGAGGGCCTAGTAAGCTGTTAGAACGTGTGTCCAATCCCTTTGATTGTGTCAGGAGAGGGCCTAGTAAGCTGTTAGAACGTGTGTCCAATCCCTTTGATTGTGTCAGGAGGACCTAGTAAGCTGTTAGAACGAGTGTCCGATCCCTTTGGTTGTGTCAGGAGAGGGCCTAGTAAGCTGTTAGAACGTGTGTCCGATCCCTTTGATTGTGTCAGGAGAGGGCCTATTAAGCTGTTAGAACGAGTGTCCGATCCCTTTGTTATGTCAGGAGAGGGCCTAGTACGTTGTTAGAACGTGTGTTCAATCCTTTTGGTTGTGTCAGGAGAGGAGGCCTAGTAAGCTGTTAGAACGTGGGTCCGATCCCTTTGATTGTGCCAGGAGAGGACCTAGTAAGCTGTTAAAACGTGTGTCCAATCCCTTTGATTGTTTTTTAATCAATAAGATATGTTTGAACCAACTAATTACAACAAATATTTTCTTCACATTTTATCAATATTCATAATGTAATATTTTTTATTTCAATATTCGCTATTGAACCCCCTGTAAACTGTATTGTAACTGGCTTCGTGTTCCCATAATGTTAAATTTCTCACCATATAGATATCACACTTTAAAGCTGAGTACGACTTTTGGTAAGAGTTCCTTTTGAACCCCCCACTCAAAGTGGCTACCAATGGGTTATTATACCTGGTAAATATAATACAAATGTCTGAAAGGGTTGATTTTAAGACCATGCCCCAACTTTTCTTGGTACCCCTTAAAATAAACCCTTTTAGATACTTATTATAGCCTACTGGTAGTCATTTTGGGTGGGGGGTTCAAAAGGAACTTTTTCTGTTACAGACAGTATAATCAAATAATTCCGGAAAACAGAAAATAAATTTTGTTGGAATTAGGTAGAAGTAAAACCATAAATTAATTGATTGGACTTCAGTTGGCCAAACCTTATTCTGAAATGTTAAATACTTACTTGATTGACCTCTGTAAAAAGGACTTCTGACCTTGACCGGGATATGTCCATCTTATCTTTAAATGTCAGATGTTGATGAGACTGACCGTTTCACACACTGATTATATTTGAATGTTACTGTATATAACTTATCCTAGCCTGGTTGTTATTAAGGGGTCTGTCTTGATTACAAGCTCTAGGCCTTAATGCTAGTTTGATGTACACGTGTACAATCTGCATCTTGGATGGTCCGATTATACTCGGATATATTTATAAATCTGACCATTTCGACCATTTATGTTTGGATATAAATCAAAAGAGATCACAACACATGAGTGTTACTTCACTGAACTGACCAGTCGATGACCACCCCACCTTTATCAGGGGATACATCAGATATAGCATTATAAATCACCTTCACCACCAAAGGTTATTTTGACTTTTTCAACCCAGGGTACACCTTAAGTAATTCCAGTCCGTATTTTTACCTATGATTTCTAGAATTTGCTAGCCTAGGTGAGTGGACATATCCTAGCGTTATCGCCGTTACCGGATAATATGTCAAGGTTCTCTACGTAATATAACCATATATACCAAACAATAGGACATTTTTGTCTTGGAGGATCATTTGTGAAATTCTTATTCAGGCATTTTATTTCTAAAGTGCTTTGTTGTGATTTTTTAAAACTCTGCTAAGATAATAAGCCCATTTGTTGATTATCATGTATTAGACTGAATGTTTAACTCTGTACTGTTATGCCCCGATCGGGGGCATGTTGTTTTTGTACTCTCTGATTGTCTGTTGTTAACTTTAACCTTGCTCATAACTACTGCACCGTAACAGGTAGGGCTTCCATATTTGGTATGGGTGTACCGTGTGACAAGACCTTTCTGGCGATACCAACATTTTTGACCACGTGACCGTGATATTTGACCTACTGTTGAAAGTAAAAAAAAAATTCATTACCACAATGACGATATTAAGTGTTTCACATCGTGTGCACGATAAGTTTTAATGTCCTACTTCAGAATTTTGTTGCAGTCGGGGGCATAGTGTTTCATAAACATCTT